AGGCTCCCTGGCTCTTTTTCTCTCAGGACCCTACCCTCCCATGCCTTTCCCTCCTGTGCATGGGGTCCTCCCTCGGCCCCTTTACTGACGGGCCAGCCCACTCCCTGGCCTTTGCTCTATTGTCTGGTGCTCCCTGTTCTCTTTCTCATCCAAGGACTTGGATCCCAGATCTGTTTCTCCCTTGCCTGCCCTCCTCTCAAACTTGGGACCTCTTCCTGCCCTCTACCCCTTCCCTTTGCCATCTTAAGCTGACTTTTTAATCATCTCCCTTCCCATTCTTGTGATCTCTCCTGTCCTGATTTGAGGGAGACTTCTCCTGGGCTTGTTGCTCATGCTCTTGACCCCCTTCTCATCCCATCCTAAACAGCCTTTTCCCACCATCTCTGGCTTTGTGCGCCCCCCCCCCCCCCCCCCCCCCCCCGCCTTCCTGACTTCTTTCATCTGCCATCATTTTTCTTGCACTTTCACATCTTAATTCTTTCTCATTCCCACCATAGGCCCTTATCTCCTCCTCTCCCATTTTTTCCTGTTCATAACCTGCATCTTCTCCCACTTCCATTCCTACTCCCTCCTTTACAAATGCTTCCTCCCTTCCTGACACAAGGACACCCCCCCCACACACACTCACACCTTTTCCCCTTTTTCCTCAAAGCCTTCCACCTGAGTCAGGGGCCCCTTCTTCTCTGGACCCTAATTTTATTCTCGATGATCTTGACTCTAGGCTCAAACACCCCCTCCCCATTTTGACTCCCAGCAAGATTTGCACACCTTGCCTCAAACCCAGCTTTCATTCCTCATCTTCCTCCCCTCCCTATTTCTCAGGGATTCTTAAAACCCTTTGCATATGAGATTAAAAATAAATGTTAAAATGCAGATATTAAGCCGAACCGGTTTGGCTCAGTGGATAGAGCGTTGGCCTGCAGACTGAAGGGTCCCGGGTTCGATTCCGGTCAAGGGCATGTACCTTGGTTGCGGGCACATCCCCAGTAGGGAGTGTGCAGGAGGCAGCTGATCTCTCTCTCATCAATGTTTCTAACTCTCTATCCCTCTCCCTTCTTCTCTGTAAAAAATCAATAAAATATATTTAAAAAAAAAAAGAAACTGGCTCTTTAAAAAAAATGCAGATACTAAAATTTTTAAACATGCTTCTCTTTCTAAATAACTCCCCTCCCCCACACCTAGTCATGGCTGGCTTCTTTTTGTTCAGATTTTCTCCTAAAAGGCAGCTTTCTGAGAATCCTTCCCTGCCCACCTCATATAAAGGGGTCCCAACCCTGACACAGGTACCACAGTAGTTTCTGTGTTACAAAAAGCATTTCACATTGTGAAATCTTAATTTATGTGTTGTCTGTTTACCCATCTGGGATTGATGCTCCGTGAAAGGCCTCATCTTTCCTGTTTACCTGGTAGGTACATAGTGGCTCAGTCAGTGTTTGCTGAATAAGGTCGTGATTCCTGGTGCCAGACACTGTGCTAAGTACTCTGTGTTATCATGTCATTTAATCCTTATAACAAGCCTGATTGAGGTAAGTTCTTTCATTATTGCTATTTTATACCTTAAGAAACAAGTGCAGAAAGGATAAGAGCATTTTGTCTGTTGTCTCAAAACAACAGGCCCTACCCGAGAATCTCATCCATATCTGTGTGAAGTCACAGCCCATGTTCCTTTCACTTCATCTGGCAATGCAGAGGGAAGGGACCGTTAGGAATGGAAAACGAAGGGAAGATGGTCTGAATGCGAGGTACATCAGATCAGGGTCGGGCTCCTGCCCTGGGGCAAGGAGTGCAGGGAGGTGCAGTATAGAACACAAGGACCTAAGTGAGGGTGAGAAGGGTAAGAGCTAACATTTACTCACTTTGTGCCAGGCACTGCTCAAAACAATATATTGAATACTCACCTGGGAGTTGTAGGTGGTATCATTTCACAGATGAGGAGTCTTGGCTCAGAGATGTTAATTATCTTCTCCAGGATCAGACAGTTAGGATATAGGGGAGCTGGGATATGACCAAAAGCAGTCTGACGACAGAGCGAGTATTCTCATTGCGACCCTGCACTCTCTCCAGCAAGAAAACTGGATTTACAGGACTAGTGTGGTCCACGCTGGGCACCAACTCCTGCTTCCTGGATTCCTATTTCCTTTGTGGAACGGCCTCAGCCAATGTCACGCCTGCCTCTGCCTGCTCTCCATAAAGAAAGTGGCTGATGGCTTCCGCTCATCCATGTTACTGCACCAGCACCAGGAAACCTGGGGTTGGCAGGGCAGCGATCCTGGGTCAGTGTAGTCACAGACAGACTGACTCCCTGGGGTGGGAGTCCCAGGCTTAGACTGTGAAGCATCAAGGGCAAAATGGAGAGCAAGCCCTCTGGCTAGAGATCTTTAAAAAAGCAGTCTCCAATCAGCTTTATTCTCCCAAAAAAGCTGACATTTTGATCTAAAAAATAAATAAATAAAAGGCTTCCTTGATTCAGTGCTGGCAGGAGTGAGGGTAGCAGATCAGAGAGGAGGCTGGAGCGCAGTGGCACCGGCTCACACAGTCTCCTCCAGCCCTAGGAGCCTTAGCCAAAACCAGCAAAGAGGGGTTTCCTCTCAAAATAGTAAGATTTGCATAAAAAATACAAGGGTGGCCCTATCTGGTTTGGCTCAGTGGATAGAGCGTCAACCTGTGGACTGAAGGGTACCGGGTTCAATTCCGGTCAGGGCACATGCCTGGGTTGTGGGCTCGGTCCCCATTATGGGGCGTGCAGGAGGCAGCAACCAATGATTCTCATCATTGATGTTTCTCTCTCTCTCCTTTCCTCTCTGAAGTCAATAAAAATATATATTAAAAAAATAGAAGGATGACTAAGTTCAGCATCTTTCCCACCCTCATCGTCCTTTAAAGGCTTAAGAGTTCTGGAAATTTCCTTGAAATGTGAACAAAGGAAGCTGAGAGGCAATACCTGGAACTTGTTAGAAATGGAAACTGGCCCTGCCCCAGACCTACTGAATCAGACTTGGTGCCTGGGCCCAGCGTTCTGCATCAACAAGCCCTCCCGGTGATCTAGACACACAAAGGTTTGAAAAATCACTGTCCTGGGAAACATCTCTGAGCCTGTCCAATGTCTGAGCCAAAATGTCTGTCTTAGAGCCCTGGGAACCACTAAAAGCACTAGCATCTCAGCTTCTAAACTACATGCCCCAGAGGGCTTCTTGCGCCCAACAGTGGCACTTACATCCTTTATTTGGATGAAAGGCACCAGTGTCATTGGAAAACATGGCCCCTGTAAGTATCTAGAGCAGCCGTGGGCAAACTGCGGCCCACGGGCCGGATGCGGCCCGTTTGAAATGAATAAAACTAAAAAAAAAAAAAAGACCGTACCCTTTTATGTAATGATGTTTACTTTGAATTTATATTAGTTCACACAAACATTCCACTTGTTCCGGCCCTCCGGTCCAGTTTAAGAACCCATTGTGGCCCTCGAGTCAAAAAGTTTGCCCACCCCTGCCATAGACAGTAATCACTTAAGTATTTTGTTAGCCCAGGCCAGGTAGCTCGGTTGGTTGGAGTGCTGTCCTAATATACCAAGGTTGTGGGTTCAATCCAAGGTCAGGACACATACAGGAATCAACCAATGAATGCATAAATAAGTGGAACAACCAGTCCATGTTTCTCTCTCCCTTCTCTCTAAAAGCAATCAACAAATAAAAACGTATGCTAAAAAGGAGCCATGGGTCCCATCACTTCTCTACTGCTTAGTTAGGCTGGAATAAATTGTTTTACAAACTTTTTTTAAAAGTGTGAGAGTAAGTGGGCCACTTGTAGAGCATTCAATAGAGCGCTCGGACTTTTGTCCAGATCACTATCATAACAGCTGCCACACGAGGAACCAAGTAGCCAGGCTAGAGCACATGCTTAATAACTATCAGGGAAGACCATCTGAAGTGTTTGCTATTTCTAGGAGAAACTTATTTGTGGCAGGCATGCTACTTGCCTACCCGAAACCCATTCTTCCCCTTTTCTTCAGTTAACAAACTCCTGGTTTTCTTTGGGGCAGTAACATGCCCAGCTAAAAGTCTTCCCCATACCCCTTGCAGCTAGGAGTGGCAATTTGAACCAGTTCTGGCCAGTTAAAAGTCAGCAGAAGTTACTGGGTGAAACCTCTTGGAAAGCATTTCAGAAGAAGCCAAGTTGGATGGCATCTGCCTTTTGCCTCTCGTTTTCTCCCCCTTTTCCTATCTGGAATGGCAGTGATGCCTGGATATGCAGCAGCCATCCAGGACTATGAGGAGGAAGACTATACACCAAATAAGGCAGAACAGAAAGACCGAAGGAGCACTAGCCCTTGGCTTATTACCCCTGAACTTACTGTTAAACAAGAAAAAATAAACTACTATTTGATTAAACTTCTGTAGTTGGGTTTCAGTTACACACAACCTAACACAATTCTTACAAAAAGGGCCAAAGTGCTAACCAAGGCATACACACTGTTTCTTTAGCCAGCCAGAGACAAAGCTGGTGACGGAACAGTGGTTAGTGGGTTAGGTATTCTCCTTACCCTTCAAATCCCTCTGAACCTAGACATGGACATAAGAATGAAAACTGGATCAAGAAGGCATTCTTCAAATTGAAATGCTTTTATTACAACACTAATAATTGCAGATTAAAAAAAAAGTGAAAACAAATGCTATTATTGATTAGGCAAATTAGTTGGAAGGAAGATTTCTGCAGTGTATACAAAATGTAAACATTTGCCCTGGGATTTCCCACAGTTGGCACAGTCCATAAGGACTTATTTGGAACAAAAATATGTCTATCAGTATAGCCTCTACAATGTCTGTGAACTTGCTCCATTGAAAGTTAAAGTTCCGAGCACACCCCAAATTTTCTATGCAAAAAACTAAAAATGGCCACCAATCAAGGCAAATTGAACATCAACTGCTATATGTGGAGGCAGAGGCATGGAAGCAAATCAGTCTTCCAACAGTGAGCTCCCACTCATCACACTAACTGTATTTACATTTACCTTGACAGAGATTACAAAAATATACACAGTATATAAAACCCCTGCTTGAGTCTGGGGTAGGTGATGAAATATTTCTTGCTTATCAAATGCTCCAGAGAGAGGCATCAAATCAGTCACTTGGACTCAGGGGGAGACTAAGAAGAGGCCCTCTTCTGTTCAGAAAATGGAGACTCATAAACTTCCATGGGTGGGCAGGTACAGACCAGGTGCTGGTCGCCATAGATGTCATCGATCCGGGCAATGGTTGGCCAGAATTTGTTCTCTGGTTTCACAAAGGGCTGTAAGAACAAAGGATGAAAAAAATATTCTGCCATATTTTGAGAGGTTTATCTTGTGAGAGGATATTACCATGATACTCCCACAGCCTAGTATACCACTAGCCCAACAAGTACTCAAAAAGTACAAGAAGCTAGCCCTAGCTGGTTTGGCTCAGTGGATAGAGTGTCGGCCCGCAGACCTAAGGGTCCCATGTTCGATTCCAGTCAAGGGCATGTACTTGGTTGCAGGTTCAATCCCTGGCCCTGGTCGAGGCACATACAGGAGGCAACCAATCGATGTGTCTCTCTACATAGATCTCTCTCTGTCTCTCCCCCTCCCTTCCACTCTCTAAAAATCAATGGAAAAATATCCTTGGGTGAGGATTAACAAAACAAACAAACAAAAAAAAGTATAAGAAACTAAAAGCTTGTTCTCGTCCCATCAAACTATACAGCATCTTCTCCTTCATATAAGAACCATAAAAGAAAAAGAAATAGCCCTAGCCCGTTTGGCTCAGTGGATAGAGCGTCAGCCTGCAATCTCAAAGATCCCAGGTTCAATTCTGGTCAAGGGCACATGCCCAGGTTGTGGGCTCGATCCTCAGAGGGGGGCTTGCAGGAGGCAGCCGATCAATGATTCTCATCATTGATGTTTCTATCTCTCCCTCTTCCTTCCTCTCTGAAATCAATAAATATGTATATTTTTTTAAATGTGACATAATACATTTTTTAAAAAAAGAAAGAATTGCATTTGGAGCCATCTCACTATTGGATGGTGGTAGAATACATCTACTTGACAAGGTCTCCTACTGGGACTTCCTCCACTGTGTGCCCTGGCAGATTCTCAGACTCTGACTTCAGAGACGGCTACGCTCTGAGGACTTCCCTTGTCAGGGCCCACATTTCACAATGTGTCCCACAGATAGTTACTATGAGACTGTAAGAGTGGGAGCCCCTCCGAGTAGGCGATGGCCCCTCGCAGGCACTCTCACAGCTGGCACAGTCAGCTTCCGAGGAGAACTTACGAGTGGGAAGGCTGCCACCTCTCTGGAATACGGCCGATCCCAGTGCGAGGATGTGACGCAGGTCAGGGAGTGTGGAGACATCTGGGACAGACACGGATGGGAGAGGGATCAGAGCAGAACACCGCCTTCTCCCCCGTCAGGGAGCTTCTAACGGAAGCCCATGGACAGAGGAGGCTGTTGTTTTGTTTCACTTTGGGGGGAAGGAAATCTTGGTAGGAAACTTTTTATTGTGAAATATTTCAAATATCAAAAAGTTATGGTAATATAATAAGCACATCTACTAACCAACATCAATCCACATTTTGTCATATTTGCTTAACCTTTTAAAATAAAAAACACTGGAGGCAGTTGAAGCTGCCTGGATTTCCCCTCTCCGCCTCATTGTTTGCCCTTCTCCCCAGGGATGACCACTATCTTGAATTTGGTGTTCACCAGTCCTATCATGTTTTTATATTATTATTGCGTATATTAATAAACAGCATATAGCATAGTTTTTAAACCATGTATCATTCGATGAGTATTATTCTCCACTTGCTTTTTTAACACAGTATTATGTCCTTTAGACATCTATTGCCATTTTAAAAACAGCCTAAATCCTGAGAGAATCAGCAGTAACCAGAGTAAAAAAAAAAAAAAAAAAAGTACAAATGATCATATTGTCTTCTTTCGTTACCCTGTCAAACTCACACTAAGTAAGGTACCTGCCTTCTCCTGCCACCCATTTGCCCCCGCACTCCACCTTCTGCTGGGCAGTTTTAAAAGTTGCTCAGCATCTCAGATGTGTTGTCCGGCTTGGAGCCATAACAACACAACCACAGCCTTCATGGTGTTCTCAATTCATGCTACCCCGGCTTAATATCTGGACCCAATGAGAAACTTAAGAGCTCTCACTAGATATGAAATAAACATATTGTAGAAGAGGCAGGATAATGCCTAACAAATTGTTCTCCAACATAAGCCACAAACATTATAAAACATTCAAGGAACAATCCAGTTGTTCTAAGAGGTAACTGCTTGTCTTTAATGTAAGAACTTACCTTTACCCTGAGTTTGTGAGGTAAATAATCTCACTAGTTTGCACCAAACAGAGACACAGAATAAGACTTCCTCAACTAAATGGAGCCCTTAGGCCTCTGCTCCCTCTGTGGCAACCAGTTGGGTGCATGTGGTGTGTAGCTGCCACAACCCCCAAAACAATGACATAAACAACGTTAAGACATAGAAAATATCTACATTACACTTGAGTAACAGCCATGTTCAAGATTTAAACTTCCAAGTAATGAATGCATCATCTCAGAAGAATGGCCTTGATTCTAGGCAAGAATATCATCATCTCATGAGGGAGCTCGGGGCTTGCTGACACACTGGCCCAACCATTTTATCCTCTATGGGACATTTTGAATAAAGTCAGTGCCTACAGACCTTCAGTGGATTGACCTGGGGGTCGATGCGGCCCTCCTCAATGTCGGCGATTTCCTGCCGAATGCTTATCATGGCATCACAGAACCTATCCAGCTCTGCCTTGTCTTCCGACTCAGTGGGCTCAATCATGAGAGTCCCTGCCACTGGCCAGGACATGGTAGGGGCATGAAATCCTGCAAGGGAGACCGGAGAACATGTGACATTAATTTTGACCTTCCCAATTTGGAAGAGACACTCTCACATCGATGTTTCTTTCTGTCTCTCCCCCTCCCTTCCACTCTCTCTAAAAATCAATGGAAAAATATCCTTGGGTGAGGACTAACAAAAAAAGAAAGGAAGGAAGGAAGAAGGGAGGGAACGAGGGAGGGAGGGAGAGAGGGAGGAGAGGAGGGTGGGAGAATACTATCAAGGCTGGAGATAGTAAAGGCCTTGAAAGTTTGGAAGTACTAGATGGTAACTTCAATTACCACCTCCCTCCTAGCCCCTTCTCTCTCTCCCTCCAAATGCTGCTGCAGTCAGACGTGAGATGCCAGGAGTCTGAGTCAGGTTATTGGAAGAGTCATGAGGAGATTCTGATGAGGCAGTTGCTAATTTCATTAATGAAACCACTCTCTGGCTTTCCCATTTATTATCAGTATAACTTTGCATAATAAGATCATTCATTTGAGAGAGAATGAGACACACACACACACACACACACATACACACACACACACACACACACACACACACGGGACTCCCATTAAGATGCCGTAGTAAACCTACTAAATTATTAAAGTTTTCATTTTACTTATTAAAAGAAGTCATTCAAAATCATCATTAAAATTAAGATGGGACTCCACATCCATTGAAAGGCAAAGTTCTCTTCAACTTAGCCTTTCTGAGAATTGAAGGGTCTTTGATATTATTAATAATGTCACTAAGAAAATGTATTTTAATAAGGGCTGTGCTGAGCAAACATCCACTAATATACAAAGGGCCTGCATCTCTTTAAATCCTTCAAAGAAAATTGTGTCACCGCTGTGAAAACATATGCCTATTCCTCGCCTCTAGAAGCAGCGGAAACAGCTGTGTCATGCCTGAAATGGTTGTAAATATGAATATAAAATGCCACTTGTCTCTAACACTTCCACAGGTAACTTGCTCCACTTCTTCCCCCCATTATACCACCTTGCCTCTTCATGGACCTCTCTGTGTACCAAGAGTGGGAAAGAAATAAGAATTTACCAGAAACATGGGTAGAGAACAACAATCATTTTCTTTGGGATTTTTAATTTTGTTAACTATACAGACATCTTGGCTGCCTGGAGTCAAGATGCATGACTTATCTTTCAAAGGGCGGTACAAATGCAGTCATAGGGGGAGTTTTTTCTCTATCACTTCAAAGGTTGCCTAGAACCCTGGGCTCCCCACTTGGCCTACGGATCAGTTTCCTGTGGTGACTGCACATTCGGTTTGTGCCTCCAGGAAGTGGTCCACAGCCAGCTCCAGCAACTGTGTGAATGTCAAAAGCCCCAGTCTGTGTCCCCCCTCTTGGCCACATCCACAGCCTCAATATTTGCAGACTTTTTGAAGGGTCTTGTATCCAAAATAAATTCATGAGCCACATAACCTGTTAGGGAAAATTGTTTCATCTCGAGATTAGCATCAGTTTGTTGTTTTACACAAGCAAATGGGCAAATAAATCAGCCTTATAATGCATGTTGAAAAGCATGGGCACTTGATAAGTTTATAGGTGGAAACAAAGACTTCCTCGTTCTTACTGCAAATAAAAATGTTTAACATGCCAGGCCAATGTATCCGATCCTTAGTGCATAACACACCCTTGAGCCAAGAAGCTAATGGGAGGTGGGACTTCGGTGCTAAGGCTCCGCTGAAACATTCAACAGAGATTTCTGGGGATGAGATTACTTCTAACCTAAAATCTAGTTGCAACAGTCATCGCAGGCCTGATCCTATGTACAAAATATTTCTAAGCTAAAGATCCATTGACATCCTTTTCAGGAACTTTCCCCCCAACATCCAATAACTGTTTCTTCTGTCTGTGTGCAAATATACTAAACATATATCCATAAGACACAGAATTTTATGTGGTTCTTCAAAGGGGCTTTTGAAGTTTCGGTTTCAGACTGAGAATTAGAAATAAGAGTTGTCAAAGCATACACCACAAGTGGCAAGGAGTTGATAAGGCCAAAATCTCTGAGGGGTCTGTTCACTTTGTTCTAGTATGGAAACGGATCGCCTCGCTATGCCCAGGCTGCCGTCTCCCCAGCATGAGCTGTTGATCACCCATTCATCATCAAAAACCACCAAAGTTAAGTCAGCATTTTCATAAATAGAACAACATTCCCGGGAGCTTCCCAAATTCCATGCCCACACAACAGATGAATTTCCTTCAAGGAAAGCATCTATACATGAGATAATAATGTACTCTTTCTTAACCTGCTTTGCTGATTTTCAGCAAACATTGAATTACTTAACAGGTCCTTGGAGCAGACAAGTCCTCAACCTAAAGAATAGCTCCAGTCCTTAGCAGCCCCTGAAAATAGTCTGTGAACGGCTCTGCTTTTTATGTAGTGAACACATATGGATAAACTGGTTTTGTTTGAAATAAAAGTATGAGATCCTGAGGCTTTGAATATACTGTTACTGCATGCTTACTTTTAACGCCTGCTTTGTAACAATGATGGCAATTACACTTGTGAGGAGTGTGATTCCAAAGTAGGAAGTTGTATTCATAGGTGTGGGGGGCGGAAAGTGCCAGTTGAAATGATCAGGGGGAAAATCATGAGATTCAAGTCCTCATCAACTATTAATTCCAAGAATCCTAAATGCCCTATTACGCTACTCCATTTGGGGAGCCCAACCCTTGACCTTTCTTCGCTGAGCCTCTGGCAGCCAACCCAGCATTGTGACAATGACTTAAGGAAGGAGACTAATGTTCTGAAGCAGCAGTCGCCGACCTTTCGGACCTCACGGACCACGGGTTGGCGACCGCTGCTCTGAAGGACACTCAGCGGCAGCGGAGGAGGAGGAGAGGGACACATGAGGGTGGAGAGGAGTTGCTCTTGCTGGTGGGCAGGGAGCAGAATCTTCCAGAGGTTCAGTAATAGCTGAAAGGCCCCATCCAGCCCGGCCCAGCCCTGCCCAGCCCAGCCGAGCGCTGCTAACACCAAGGCTTCTCCGCAGAGGCCCCCACCACAGCCTAGTGGTTTGGGAAGAGCTCCATTTTCAAAATGAGGTTCAGATGTTATTTTCTAAATCCATCGTCTAATGCATTCAGATGGAAACGGTAGTGGAATTTCAGCATCTTTCTCTCTCTCCCCCGCTACTGAGCCCGGCAAAGGGTGAAATTTAAACTTGGTGGCTTTTGGAGGCCAGATCCCAAGATGTTCATCTTTGTTTGCAGTTTTTAAGAAGGAAAGATATACAAACCTTCTATGGTATAGGGTGAGTCGGGGCAATCTGAAGTAGAAATTGTATAAGCTGATCAGCACAAGTTTTCACTGAGTAGGTGTTTCCGCTGGGCCTGACCATGACTATCACTGAGAGTCTGACTAGACAGCAAGTCAAAGGAGCAAGGAGAGGAGGGGGTGGGATGATGGAAAAGCAAAATAAAAATGGCTTGGCTCCAAGCTTGGAACATGCCCCTTCCCAACCCCCGGAAGTTAATTATCTCCCAAGGCTACAGAACGTGCTCCAGAAAAAAAGGACTTTTCAAAACCTCCCTTGAGCTTGGCCAGTGTTGGTCAGTGGTCGACTTCTGAACCAGGAGGTCACGGCTTGATTCTCGGTCAGGGCACAGGCCCGGGTTGCGGGTTTGATCCCCAGTGGGGGCCGTGCAGGAGGCAGCGGATCCATGATTCTCTCTCATCATTGGGCCTCAGGAGGTGTTTCTCCCCAGCCAGGGATCTGAGGGCCCAGCTCCTGAGGCCCATGTCCACTCATAAAGGCCCCAGGGAAACCTATTCAGGGGCAGGAATTTCCAAGCAGCATTAGGTTTGTCCAAGGACAAAACAGGACAGGCATTTAAGAATTTAAACCATAATTAAAACAATGGGATATGAACAAAATTGTCTACTCCACTGACAGGAACACCATTTAGATTAAAAAGTGACCTTAGCCTCGCACAAGAGTAGACACTTGTGAATTTTTTAAATTTCTCCTTTAAAAAAGTATCATTTTACCTGAGGTAATTCCTTTCTTTCCATATCCTAACAATAAATACTGCTGCTGCTGTCCATCCCAATTCCTGCCTGCCACTCCTCTGCTTCACAAAACTATAACCCTCAACCGTTTAGCTGGTATTTTCAAACTCTCAAAGAAATGGTTCATAAAGGGAAGCCTGGAGTTCATTAAAATTGTTGCCTCATAGTCATGGGTAATTCTGAAGTCTTTTTAGAGCTAGTAAATAGGAATAAAATGAATAACGGTCTTCGGATATTGCCATTAGACATTTTGGAATACAATATGTTTAAAAACATTTTCTATTTCGGGCCCTTGGGAGATAAACTGATAATTCTTTTCTAGGCCTTAAAATACAAAGCCTCAAATTGTATAATGAATGTGTTTACCAAACCAAACATGAGACAATTTTTGGTTTCATGAACTTTGGGATTGGGTAATAAAGTCTGTATTCACCAGTCCTTTTTGCTTGGGATGATAAATAGGATTCATTATTTAATTCTGTGGTAAAATGTCAAAACAAACGGAAAATGTTATCTGTCTTTTTATGCTGCAATTCCCTAGGACTGGGACCATCTATGCCCATAGAAATCACTTAACTGCTAAGCACATGGTGGGCACCTGAGAAATGCTTGCTCACTCTCCTCTCTCCTGGAGAGCCGCCTATCCCCCACAGTCCAGGCAACAAGCATTCCTGCTGTAAACAACTACTAGTAAACCCGGCATCACAGTACTCTGCGCACTTACTAACAATCATCGAGTTGTACATTTTAAGTGAGCGAGTTGCATGGTACGTGAATTCTATCTCGATGAAGTTGTCAAATAAAGTTAATCATAAGGGAAAATGTCAATATAAAAAAATTAAAAATAGAAAAAAACAAATATTGATAAATTATAGCAAAAATATGGTATTTTACTCATCAAGTTGGCAAAGATACTTTGGTTTAGGTTTGCATTGCTTTTTTGTGCTCACCAGGCCCTGGTGCCATGGCTATTCTCATCTATTAACTGTGAGAAAATTCAGTACAAAGTCTCTGGGAGGACAACTAGGCCCTCTGTATCAAGAGCTTCAGTGAGTTGATAGCCTCTGAGATAATAATTTCTCTTCTGCGACTAACCTAAGGAAACAATCAGAGATTTTTTTTTAATCTAAGAAATTCAAACAACTCAGGGAAAAACCTATAGAATTGCTGAAATTGTGGTATACCCACACAATAGAATTGATGCAGTCACTTTCAAAGAACATGTAATGGCGTGGGGAAATAATCACAATATAAAATAAAGTTAAAAAAACAAACAAACAGGACACAAGCCCTAGATGGTTTGGCTCAGTGGATAGAGTGTCGCCCTGCAGACCGAAAGGTCCTGGGTTCGATTCCGGCACGTACCTCGGTTGCAGGTTCCTCCCCAGTCCAGGCCCTGGTCCAGGCCCATGCAGGAGGCAACCAATCGATGTGTTTCTCTCACATTGATATTTCTTTTCTCTTTTTAATATATTTTATTGAGGAAGGGAGAGGGAGGGAGAGGGATAGAGAGTTAGAAGCATCAATAAGAGAGAAACATCAATTCAGCTGCCTCCTGCACACTCCCTACTGGGGATGTGCCCGCAACCAACGTACATGCCCTTGACCGGAATCGAACCTGGGACCCTTTAGTCCACAGGCTGAGGCTCTATCCACTGAGCCAAACCGGTTAGGGCTCACATTGATATTTCTTTCTGTCTTTCCCTAACTCTTCTACTCTCTCTAAAAATCAATAGAAAAATATCCTCAGATGAGGATTAAAAACAAAACAAGAAACAAACAAACAAAAACAGGACACAAACTGTGCTTATAATATGATTTCAACTGTCTAAAACTAAGATGAGAAGGAATACAGCAACATATTAATCGCAATTGTGTCTGCTAGATTGAACCATGGATCATTTATATTTTCTTCCTCATACTTTTTCATTTTCCAAATTTTTCATGTTGGGCACCTATATATTATTATATAACCAAACAAAACAAATACTAAAGCTATTCCTGAAGGCCAATACATAAGCAGGATGCATTTCACAGCGCAAGAACTGTATCTGAATTAATTAGTAGCTCTAGTAGCTTCTTTAATATCCACTTCAGAAGCACTTCATTGTGTTGCTTAGAGACACGTTGCCCACAACTTTCTTTTCTCCTCTCTGGGGAGCATTTCTACCTGAGCTTCTGGTTATTTAGCTCTTTTCTATTTCCAAACTCCAGAACCACCCCTTGGGTACATATTTTTTTTAAATATATTTTATTGATTTTTTACAGAGAGGAAGGGAGAGGGATAGAGAGTTAAAACATCGATGAGAGAGAAACATCGATCAGCTGCTTCCTGCACACCCCCTACTGGGGATGTGCCCGCCACCAAGGTACATGCCCTTGACTGGAATCAAACCGGGGACCCTGCAGTCCTCAAGCCGACACTCTATCCACTGAGCCAAACTGGTTAGGGCTTGGGTACATATTTAAAGGCAAGACCAGCCTTTAAATGAAAAATCACAGATGTAGATGTACACTCTCCTGTGCAGGAAACCCAAAGCCAAAGGGTGGCCTCCTTCCTGTGGCCCAAAGTCTGGGCTGCTGCCTACTGACTGGTCTCTGCTCCAAGTCCCCTCTGTTCCTTCTTCGATTCTGAGCCCATGCACTGTGTGCCTACCTGGCACCATCCTCTCCCATCACCTCCAGAGTGACTTTGTTTCCCCGTCTGTTGTTCCCTCCATTGAAGCTTCGCTCTCCCCTCTTCACTGCTTTTTCCATGGAAACAAAACAAAACTACATCCTATGCAGCAGCTCCTACCACCCCTTCACCTCCAAACTCCCCCAAACCATGAGAGCTTCCCACATCTCCTCCCCAACCTCAGCCCACTCAGCCCATTCCCACCTGGCATCTGCCTCACCATCTTCCTCTGCTTTCAAAGGTGACTGACGGCTTCCTAGCTGTTAAAGGCAAAGGTGCCTTTGAGGACACCTATCAGATACAACCAGCACTCTGCGCGCTGCACTCTGCATTTGTTTGTTGATGGCTCGCTCTGTGCCAGGCATGACACCAGGCATGGGAGCTCCAGAACTGCAGCAGGCAGGCCCCGCCCTGCAGGAGTTTGGAGTCGATGGCAGAGCCAGAGGATAAACTAAGTGGGAGAAATCCTCCGTGCTGAGGGAGCCAAGAGGAGGAAGTAGTTCTCTTCATCCAGAAAGGGAGGCTCCAGGGAGGAGGTGAAGCCAGAATGGTGGCAGGAAGGACAAGCAGAGGGTTTCTGGGGAGAGAGGCTGTGAAGAATGGTGGTAGAGGGTGCTCAAAGCCACCTCAGGAATGGAGTCCCTGCTCATGGTAGGGGGGCTTCTGCACTCCTCTTTTTTTTTTTCTTCAGTGAATATTTACTTGTTTCTGTTAGTTTAATATATATAGGTATTTTTTTAATCCTCACCCAGGGATATTTTTCCATTGATTTTTAGAGAGAGTGGGAGAGAGAGGGAAAGGCAGAGAGAAATATCGATGTGAGAGAAACATATCAATTGGTTGCCTTCTGCACAGGCCCTGACCAGAGCCCGGGCCAGGGGGGATTCTGCAAAATAGGTATGTGCCCTTGACTGGAATCGAACCCAGGACCCTTTGGTCCACAGGCTGATGCTCTATCTACTGAGCCACACCGGCTAGGGTCCCTCTTAATGTAGCCATCTGCTTGAGGGGTTTTGCTCTGGTCTTTCGAAACTTTTTCTTGAGTCTCCCCACTTCCAAGAGTCTGCTCTCAGAGGTTGTGTCCTCTGCATGTCTACCTGACTCCATCCCCTCCCATCACGTCCAACGTGACTTTGTTCCTCCGTCTATTATTGCCTCTATTACAACCCTAAGAGGCGTACCTAAAATGTATCTTCACACTCAACTTATCAGTAACTAAGACTCACTGATTCTACTTTTAATAGCATGTTCATGCCATGCCACCGACTTAATGATTTCAACATTCTCTTCATCTTGTCATTCCTTTCCTCAAAACCTTTCTGGCTCAAAGGTCAAGTCCGGGGCCTTCCAAGACTTTCAAGGCCCCATGCTACCTCTCCAGCTTCATCCTCATCGGATCCTTCTCCTCCTATCTCGTCCTTCAACCCACCCAACACTCCCACCACCTGGACCACTCCTTTGTCCCTGGCTTCTCCTGGGTCTCTGTTTACTTGGACTCTGTATACTTCCTTCCAGGCTCATCTCAACGGGCTCCTCCCAGAGGCTGTCCCAAAAATGCCATCCTGCCTCTGCCCAATCCGAATTTCTCCCCTCTTTGGGGGCATTCCCATATCGCTTTGTAAGGTAAGGAGCTCGTGGAATTTACGTATATATCTCTCCGTGGTGTGGGCTTCGTGTTGGCCTGAACTAACTTCATTGCAGAGCCTTGCAAATGCGGATACCTCTGATCTGTTAGCTAAATTAAAAGCATTTCCAATAACTGTACACTTTTCTCTGGTGTACACTAAGAAACACAAGTTTTCCACCCACTTCAGAAAACCAGATCTATTAGGACAAACTTGGTTTGACCAAGAAAAAACCAACGTGACTAAAGTTAATACTTGCCTCTTGCACCCCGGAAAAGGACTCTGTAGTGTTTTTCTAATCTCTTGGCCATGTAGTTGGCATTCAATATAGCAACTTCCGTAGCTTGTTTAAGGCCCTTGCCTCCCATCATCTGTAACAGAGGGAAAGAGCCATCAACTATGGAACAGGTAAACCCAATGGGCACAAACCAAAGACACCTCCTGAGAAATCCCCCTACAAAGAAAGTCAGCCCACCATCACTGTAAATTGCATGTGAGTGGAAACCCTAACAAGGACATCTGTCAGTCCTCTCTAATCCTGAAACAATTTTTGGTTTTCTCCTTTGAACGGTAATTTTACATTGCTTATTACAGTAACAAAGCCTACAGGGTAAAATTGACTGCTGACTATTGTGTTACCTAAAAAGGGAAAAGAATTATTTTAGGTTATACTCATTTAGGGGAGTTTTTGTTTGTTTACTGTGAATTTGAGATGCCTTGATGATTGCCAAGAATCCCATGGGATCTTGGCCAAAATCCCCACTGAATCAATTTTGTGTGGTTTGTCTTCCAACTGTCCACAGTCAAGGCCATTTACGTTTAACAACTGCTGGGTTCAATTATACCTTTTTCTGGTGGTTCATAAGTCTCTGTGATTATATGGGGTAAAGGGCTTAAAGTCAAGACTTGCACAATTTTTATTGCGTACTTTCTTCCCAGAATACATCACGTATGATGGAGGCTTGATATGTATTAAATACATAACTAATGTAAAGCGCATGAGAAAGCATCAAATAAAACAACAGAGGCACCAAAGTCCAAAGTAAGGAGAAGACACATTTTGCCAGGCTGGTCACAGGTCCCTGGGAAGAGTTAGAACTTGAGTGGAAATTTAAAAATGGGTAGAATTTGGATAGACCAGAAAGGGGAAGACACTCCCGGTGAGAAGAATGGCAAAAACGAAGGCGTAGAAGGGAAAGCACACGGCTGCAGTCTGGGAGTTCCTGTAGAGCAGTGGTTCTCAACCTGTGGGTCCCGACCCCTTTGGGAGTCGAACGACCCTTTCACAGGGGTCACCTAAGACCATCAGAAAACACATATATAATTACATATTGTTTTTGTGATTAATCACTATGCTTTAATTATGTTCAATTTGTAACAATGAAAATACATCCTGCATATCAGATATTTACATTACGATTCATAACAGTAGCAAAATTACAGTTATGAAGTAGCAACAAAAATAATGTTATGGTTGGGGGTCACCACAACATGAGGAACTGTATTAAAGGGTCGCAGCATTAAGAAGGTTGAGAACCACTGCACTATAACCTCTGAGCCTCAGTTTCTTCGTCTGTAAAGTGGGAGGGGGTAGAGTAACAGTGTCTATCTGTGCCCAGTGCCTGAAACACCTGACTGATAGGAGGAGCTCAACAAATAGTCACCTGGAAGGTGACCTGGAGTGAATACAGACTTAGACCAAGATTTTCTTGAACATTGTAAACTTAATTCATTTTAATCTCTGCATGCCCCGTGACCCTAGCACAGGACCGGCACAGGACTGGTGCGGGAGAGCACTTGCTGGGAGAGTTGGAAGCAGCCATGGATGGGCAAGTGGGCACAAAGATGTGTGCACGGGTGGGTGGATGGACAGGCATGTAGCTGGATCAATGATGGATGGAGAAGTCGGACATCTGGGTGTATAAATGTGTGCTAAGTGGGGGGAGTGGAGGGATGGTGGGTGGGTGGGGTGAGGGTAGAAGAAATAAATACGGGACACGCCCTCATTGTGATCTGTCTGCTGGAGGGCTTCAAGATGGAGTGAACCCAGAAAGCACGTATCAGCAGGCCAAGGCCCACGTGAGGCAGCAGCTCTGCCTTTACGAGTGTGTTCTCCAGGCTAACCCACACGGGGATGGTGTGGCCAGGACACAGGTGACCTGCACCACTGTGTGCAGTAATGACATGTGGAGGCGGCTTCGACTTTATCACTCCGAGCAGGAGGGAGGCCTGGACTAGGGCTTATGTTCAATTTGTAACAACGAAATTGGGGGTCACCACAACATGAGGAACTGTATTAAAGGGTCGCGGCATTAGGAAGGTTGAGAACCACTGCTGTAGAGCCTGGTGCATTGTGACTACCTCTTGCAAGCCTCAAACTTTTGCGAGGGAGGACTTGGACTTGGTTCAGTGACTAGCTTTCTGACTTGTATATCAGTTACTGAGCAGCTCGATGGCTCAAGCCCGCCCCTACATACGCTGCATTTGATTCTCTCTGGGACCTAGGCATGTGCATTTTTTGAAGAATCCCCTAAGAGTTCTATGTAGGCTAGTGAGACCCAGAGGTGATTGCAAAGGGAAGCAAGGAGTGGATTTGGGGGCCTTCAGGGAGAATGTCCAAGATGGACTGAAACAGGGAGAGAAAAGGCAGTTCTAGAGTCCAGGTGAAGTAAAGACAGGGCCCAAAGTCAAAGGGTCGCTTAACCCCTATTTTATTTACTTCACTCTTACACTGAGGCTCTGCCTGGTGTTCCTGACACCCAGCCAAATCAGCCCGGGGCATTTATTTTCTATCTGTGGGAAACCATCTCCAACCCAGGACCGAAAGGAAGCTGGGAATTAGATTCCGTTTGCAAAGAAGCAGGCCTTTATTATGATGGTCTTTGTTGTCTCCTAATCGCAAAACAACTCGAGGGTCATTTAAAAAAGAAGGTTTTCGTCTCTGAGGTACGGAATTGTTGTTCCAGCTTCCCAGAAAGTTTTCCTTAAGAATCATACACGCCACACTGTTCAAGAAGCACAGCCAGCCCCGGATGGCTCTCCGGCATGATTTGCATGGCTGAGTTTGAGGTTTTGTTTCACCAAAAGCCACCCTTCCTTTAAAGGGAGGAGCCAATGGGGGAAGGCGGCTCTGATCAGCAGCTGAAGGAAGGGTCCTCTCCAACACACAGTCCGGTCAGCCCCGGAGGCGGGCAGGCCAGTTCGAACGAGAGCTGCATAAACTCTGGCGCTAGTGTTTTTTTGGAGAAACACAAAGGAAGGAAGCCTGTTTTCTGACAAAGTCTAATTGCCCCCGAGAGAGCAGTTCCACAGGCCGTAAAGGGCAAAGAGCTTCGGGAAACCACCGCATCAGCAAATGTCTGCTACTTTTCATCTGCTCCCCCAGGCTTCCGAGAAATATAAAGTGAAGTAAGATGTATTCCTAGAATTTATCCCAGGATCTCAACCAAGTGTAAGACTTAGTATGCACACTGTTTGTCACTTGCAAAAAGCGGTCATCCAAATCCTCCAGGAAACCAGATGACGTGGCCAGAATAGCCACATGACTCAGAGGACTTAAACTCTGTCTGGAAAAACAGATCTGGTGTGTTCATTTCTCTGACGTTAAACCCCCTGTGAGAACCCAAAGGAAATAGCATAATGAAGACGAGATGAAATGCATTTTAGCTGATCTCTGTAGGAAGGTTTCTTCCACCCAAAGACATCGGCAATCTTCACTAATCACATCTCAGATTGTGGGGGTTTTTCATTCTCAAGCTAAGAAGGAAGTCTGCGATCTTAGTTCCCCACCCACACATCACATCCCCCCGCCCACCTAACACACATTCACAGGCCTCACCTTAATGTAAGCCCATGAAATGGGCAGGATGGAACTGGAGCCCCACGGGGCTGCGCTGACGGTCCCCACGGGCCGGGCATCCTCATCAGACGTTAACGACATGACAGGATGACTGGGTAGGAAAGGGGCAAGATGCTTCTTCCTGTAGTTGTAAGTACAAATTCAGAAGATGTAAAAAGATCCACTACAACCAGCCAGGTACAGGCTGGGCCCTCTCAGGAAGCTGTTCCCAATAGAGCAGCGGCTCTCAACCTGGGGGTCGCGACCCCTTTGGGGGTCGAACAACCCTTTCACAGGGGTCGCCTGAGACCATCGGAAAACACATATATAATTACATATTGTTTTTGTGATTAATCACTATGCTTTAATTATGTTCAATTTGTAACAATGAAATTGGGGGTCACCACAACATGAGGAACTGTATTAAAGGGCCGCGGCGTTAGGAAGGTTGAGAACCACTGCAATAGAGGAACTCCGAGTGTGGGAGGGACCTGACAGCGCTAAGGCAGACGTTCAGGAAGTGTCCCTGCCTTCCTCCTCCCCTGGAAGCACGGCTCACCAGACACGGGTGTCCCAGGGGCTCCCCCAGGAACTGTGGTGGAGGATTTGTCTGAGGCAGGCTCACCGGGATGTGCGGACATCCCAGCCCCATACCCTCTCCCTCCCAGCCCCACACTCTGTCCTGAGGCACCTGAGGGACAGAGAAGGATGCTGCTTGGAAGAAGCCCATGGGGCCACACATCAGAGGCCTGCATGTGAACCATTCACCCCACCTTCCCCACAGCTGAGGCACTGGGCCTCTTCCACTTACAATAAATAATAACCATCAAAAAGGAAAGCAGAAGGGCTCTCTGTTATAATCTCAAAAATAAAGATTTTAAAAAATTAAAATAAACGCCGAAACCAGTTTGGCTCAGTGGATAGAGCGTCGACCTGCGGACTGAAGGGTCCCAGGTTCGATTCCGGTCAAGGGCATGTACCTGGGTTGCGGGCACATCCCCAGTCAGGAGGCAGCTGATCGATGTTTCTCTCTCATCGATGTTTCTAACTCTCTGTCTCTCTCCCTTCCTCTCTGTAAAAAATCAATAAAATATATTTTTAAAAAAATTAAAATAATAATAATAATAATAATAATAATAAAAAGGAAAGCAGAAAAAAGGGGGCAGAATCCAAGCCCTGAAGACTGGCCCCTTTGGCACATTTTTGGAAGACGGAAGCTCAGGACATGGCTGCTTAGCCTCATTTTCATAAGATGACTTGATTTCACAGTGTAAAAAGATACACAACATTGAGAAGACACTCCTTTAGTCTTATTTTGACTTCATCCAATTATTTCTAATAATAAGGTTTATTTTCTCCTTACTTATCTCAGATGTAATAAGAATTCAAAGCCACTTTCTGCTAGGAGTTCTTTTGCTGTTGTTGTTATTAGGCAATTCACTTTCAATGTAACCATCAGCTGATTTTAAAGAGAAAGAAGTCTAAGTCTGAAAAGCACTTCCAGGTGCTAATATTCCAGTTCTGATCCATAATCCTCCAGCAAAGCTCCCTCTTCACTACTTAGTAAACGTGCCCTGTCTGTGCATGAATGGGAGCTCAGAGTGGCCAATCAAACGTTATGGTTAATAAAATCTAATTATGGTCTTCCTTGGACATACCCTAAAGGCATCTATTTCACTGCTCCTGTCCCAGGCCCTATGGGCACCTTACATAGGCAGGTAACCTCGCCACCTGAAGACCTCAATGGGAATAATAGCAGGTTTGGGGCTGTTCCTTCATTCTCAGTGTCCAAAGCCATGCTGAAGCCAGCAGCCCCGAACTCACACTCCGATGGGCCCCATGCCAGGGCCGCCTCCTCCATGGGGAATGCAGAAGGTCTTGTGAAGGTTTAGGTGCGAGACATCAGACCCAAAGTCTCCAGGGCGACAGATTCCCACCTACCACAATGGGAAAGAGCCGAAAGTCAAAGTCAAGAACTGGAAAGGATGCTCTGGAGAGGCGGCCATGCTGTGTGCTGTGGCCCCTCCCTGTGGAGGAAAGGCAGGCAGAGCTGAGGCCTGCAGGGAAGCCTGGCATTCCATAGGCAGCATGCCTTGTGGTTTCTGTGGAAACAGCAGCTGACCATTTAGCCTAATTTAGATTCTAAAATACAGAGTTGAATATATAGTCAATTCCTAATTACCTACCCCCTGAGCAGAGAAAGAAAATGCTGCAGCACAAGAATGGTTGTACTCCTTGCAACTGACACGGGCACCTCTCACCCCAGCAGTTTAGTTCCCCCTACACTTTCCCCGAAAGGCCCCTTTGGGCACCCTGATGGGAGGGGCTGGAGGGCTTCCCAAGAGGATGCTGATGAGCCCAGGGAGAGGAAGGGAGGTGGGCAGTTTTCCTGAGGCCATCCCGATGCCAACGACAACATTCAACGGGCGTCCCTGCCACTTTGGCATTAGGGCTGGTTTTGAATGCGGGCAGAGATAAAGAATGCATTTCTGCTAGTGAAGCAACACACAATCCCTGGACAACACTTACAAAGGAAATCAGACGAAAAGAAAAGCAGAAAGAGTCTGAAATAGTAAAACAAATAAGCAATGAGAAATGTTAGGAAGTCTCTGGGAGAGATAATGACACTCCTTGCACACCACACAAGCCTTCTCCTTTCCCCCTCCCCCACACTGGTCAGGACCTGCCTTCAGGGAAAGAACTATTCAGCTGTTTCACTCGAACAAACGAAGCTGGAAGCTGAAGCCAGTTTAATGGCTTGTCCACGGTCATGGCAGATCAACATTCACGGATGGCCAGAACTTGGGTCTGAATTCTCTCAGAAAGGCAGTCAGGTGAGCCTCTTGTCTCTCCCACCCCCAGAGGGATCACACCCGTGACAAGCTAAAGGCTTTCAACTCATTCCCTCCTTCCTTTCAACCGTTTCGCCTCCTCCCCAGCGTCCCCCATCACCTATTTAGGATCTGTAATCTCAGTGACATTCCGGGGCTTTGTTTGAAACTGTCATCCTCAGTTCTGAATACTGTGTCATGTTTAAGACAACCCTCAAAAGGTCAGAGAAAAAAAATTTTTTTCACTTAACAGTTTTCTCAGGAATCCCATCTCGTGTTGCCCACCTGAGCGTTCATATTTGCCCCGTCTAGGTAGACCTGGCCTCCGTGTTGGTGAATCAGGTCACACACGTTGCTGATGTTCTCTTCAAACACTCCATTGGTGGATGGGTACGTAATCATGATTGCTGCCAGGTTCTCCTTGTGTTTATCCACCTGTGGGACAGAAAAGGGCAGAAGGAGACAAAGGAGGAAACATTTCTTTCTTGGTCAAACAAACCCTTTCTTTTTATTTTAAAGGATTAAGAAAGATGAATTCTTGGTCTTTTCATTTCTGAAGTTTTCTTAAAGTATGATGCCAACAATAAAAGATCCACAGCCATGATTCCCTTCATTAGTCATTCCAAAGAAATAACAAGATCCCTTCAGGCTAGGTCTCCATGGTCAACACCAAAAACACTGCTCAAAATTTTTGGACAGATTGGGCTCAAGTCTCTAAAGTGGTTTTCCTTTGAAGTCATCTCAGTAATGATTTCAGATCTTTTTAGTTCCAAACATGTATATTTTCACAGTTAATCTCTCTCTGCTCATCTTGCCATATCCACCATTATTCCCTTTCCCTCCCATTCTATGGAAATTAGAATTCCCACAAGGAGTGCTCCTGCTCTGAGGGGGGGGGGGGGGGGGGTGGGGGGGTGGGGCGGGAGGGGGATGTTCTCCCTCAGTCCTCCTGACAGAAGGCAAGCATATATAAAAGGAAAGCATGTGAAAAAGTTCCCGTTTTTCTGGCCAGCAAGTCATTGCAGGCTTGTATGAAAATGAAAACAAAATTTTAATGTCAGTAACCTATACTGGCCCAAAACAGTTGTTGGTAAAAACTTTGTGGACTGATGGAAGAGGGGAGGTGAATGAGAGAGATGAGCACTGTTGTGTGTTTTCAGCTTCCCTTTTGAAATCAGTTACTTGAAGTTCCCAGACTCCATGCCTAATAACCCTGACAAAATCACATTGCTATTCAACTGATTTCCTTCCCTCTTAAGATGCAGCCTCCAGTCCACCAGTGGAAAGCAGATACGGTTGCTAGGCAACCTCTTCCTGGAGGTTGGGAGGTTGGGAGTGGGGGATGGTGTTTTAGAAAGGAGGGTGGAATGCTGCCCGATATTCAGCAGGTAATGGCTGGGATGGCCACAAGCATTTGCAAAATCTGCATTTATGTTTTAATTCCCAACCCAAAGATTGAGAAAAACCGTGGCTGCCAGTTTGATTATTAATGGAGGAAAGAGGGGCAGGTTGGGCAGGAGTAGGCAGGTCCTCCAAGGGGTACCCTTACTACCCCCATGAATAATTCATTCGGTTTCTTACTCATGCATAAATTAGAGAATAGGATTTCAATGTAAAGAACCTGCTCCCTGTTGGTGAAAGAAGTGGAAGGCCAGACTGTGGTCCGCTTAATTCTGGAGCAAAACTGTGACTGTTGCCTTTTATTGTTCCTACAGAAACGGTTAGGTTTTCTGACTTTACGCCATTATTCCCAGACCCATTCAAGGGAGGAATTGCAGTCTTTTAATTAGAATGCAAAAGAAGCTAATGCTGATATAAACCATCCAGCCCCTGACCCCCACCACCCCTTCCCAACCCAAACCACTCGCATCTGTTAAGTGGAAGATGGGTACCATGGCCTTGAGGTGAGCTGTGTCGATATTTCCATATTTATCCACCTCCACAGGCTGAATCTTCATGCCTGCCATGTGGGCACTTGCGGGATTGGTCCCATGAGCTGATTTCGGAATGAGGCAAACCTTAGGAATGAAATGAAAGGAAGGGAGGAGGATAAATAATCACCAGACTATTCATCATGACAGAAAAGCCCTACAACAAGCACATCAAACCCACAGGCTCACGTGGGCCACATAAACAAGGTGTAAGTTCATGTGGCCGCAATAAAACAAAAGCTTCAATTTTCATAGAAACGTAGGTGTATTTCGATAGAGACATGCTGAATACAAAGGGCTGAAATAAATGAGTCATCATTAACATAAAATAATAGAACATTTTAATAAAAATTAATATTTTTTCTTGAACATTAACTTACCAGACACTAAATAACTGCACAAATTAATAAGCGTAATGCAAATAAACCTATTTTTCTTGTTCTCCGAAAGCGAAATATTTCCTGTTGCACACACCAAACAAGTCAGTACAAGACTAATGACGTGGCAATCGGCTGCTAAAATATTCGCTGCTAGTATTAGTGGAGAGAAATGGTGCGCCTGTGCGTAAGGTGCATAAGGGAAATGAATGCAACACGATTATAGTTATCAGTCATTAGTGAACGTTGTAGTTTGTTATTAATAATTATGTATAACAGGATATTATAAAAATTAAGTTATGAAATTGTTATTAAAACATTTCTCATATATCGTTATATTGGCCGGGCTGCAAAAATATTCACTGTGGGCCTCATGCGGCTCGCGGGCCACAAGTTTGACATGCTTGCCCTACAACATGCTTGGAGCAAAAATTAAATAGGCACCACTTCCTTTATTTAAACTGACCACTAGTGCCTTAAAATCTGCTGCAATTTCATTGTTACCATATTACAAAACATTGTCCAAAAGAGAAGTTTCTGTTTGGATGCCCAAACAATGTTCCCTAAGTACTTTGCTCCTTTATCCCAACACACCAAAAATACACCTGGGCTTATTCTAACCTGGTCTCAGAATACGCACTCACCACCTTACAAAAACATAAGATCAGAAGCTCAACTCTAGGACTCAAATGCCCACACCACAGTGTCTGTGCCCTGCTTGGCTCTTCTGCGATCCAAGAGACATGACAAGGGCAGACAGAATTCCAAAGCCTCCCAGTGTCATCCTTTATTGGTTGTTTATTCTGTGCAATGAATTGTCAGTTCCCATGAGAATCATAAACTAAGCACTAAATCTGGTCAACCTCTGCCCTGTGCTCACACGACTTGTTCACTGACAACACTGCCACGTGTGTAAGTAAATGCCTACCGCAGACAGGTGCAGGGGAGGGGAGGAGTGTGTCAAGACCTACAGCTTAAAGATCTATCGAATTCTAATGGAAAGTGGGTGATGGGTGCAATGCTAGAATTCCCAGATTTAAATCACTTTCATTTCCTCCCCCAAAATCACATGAACACAGGCAAAAACACATGCTCAAGTAGATCGGACGACGCCCCAGTACAGGAAAATGCATTACAGACTTTTCCTAAAACAACAAAAAGAAGCAACAAGCACCCTGAAAATAATCCTTTTTTAAAAAGGAATTATTTTTACTGATTTCAGAGAGGAAGGGAGAGGGAGAGATAGGAACATCAACGATGAGAGAGAATCATTGATCAGCTGCCTCCTGCATGACCTCATTGGGGACCCAGCCAGCAACTCAGGAATGTGCCCTGCCCGGGAATGAACCGTGACCTGGTTCATAGGTCGATGCTCAACCACTGAGTCATGCCAGCCAGGCTCCTTTTTTTTTTTTTTTTTTTTTTAAATACCAGAACCAATATTGCAATCCCTTGAAAAGAAATGGATGCACATTATAAAATGGGCTTACAAAAGGAAAGCTTAGCTTACAGCTGTTTCCTCAAAAACAGCAAAGTCATCTACTTAATAAAAATACACGTGCACAAAGAGAACTGTAACCAGAGGCACACATGAAAGTACTTTGTCACTCTTCTGCTGACAGCAAGTTTGTGCCTCTTTTGAATGGCTCCTCATCTCATGCTGGTTATGCTGTGTTATCCTCAAATCCGTTTTCTTGTTTAAATGCCTCCCGTTTGTATTGAATGTTCTTTAATTTCTCAGGACCAAAGCGAGAGTCACTTGTCCTTTCTCACAAGGTATTTTTATTCCACCAAAGGATCTTGGTATAAAAGGATCCCCAGGGGCAGAACATTGATCAAGGAAGGGAAAGGCAAATGTTTTAAAAATGAATATAAACTATTTGTTAAAGGCCTAAGTGGAGAATTCATATCAGGGAAGTTCTGCCGAAACAAAAACATTCAAGCTAAGCCCTCACCAGTTTGGCTCGGTGGATAGGATGCCGGCCTGTGGCCTGAAGGGTCACAGCTTTGATTCCAATCAAAGGCACGTACCTTGGTTGCAGGCTTGATCCCAGACCCAGGTTGGGGTGCGTGTGAGAGGAAACCAATCGATGTGTCTCTATCACACAGATGTCTCTCCCTCTGTGTCTCTCCCCCTCCCTTCCACGCTCTTTAAAAATCAATGGAAAAATATCCTCGGGTGAGGATTAACAAAAAGAAAAAGGAAACATTCAAGCTAAAAATGTCAACCACCCCATGGTACACTGAATAAGGGGCCTCCAACGATGCCCACATCCTATTCCCAAAATGGCAAAGGGACTTGGCTGATGTGATTAAGTTAAGGGTCTTGAGATGAGAGATTAAGGACCTTAAGATAGGATGAGGATGAAGCTACATGGAGATGGTGAAAGAGCATAATGATGGGGAGCTTTAGGGGCTACCTCAGTGCAAGGAGGAAAAACAGAAGAGGGAACGCTTAATGTCAGTCATCGGTCAGTCACTGGACAACTGGAACCTTAACATTCCTCTTGAAATCTGAATTATAGGTTGGGCTCCAAATGTATTCGCAAGTGTTCTCATCAGAGGGAGGCAGAGGGAAACCTGATTACAAAGGAAGTAGGAGATGTGATGACTGAACAGAGGCTGGCATGATGGTAGGAAGGGGCCATGAGCCAAGGAACGAAGGAGGCCTCCAGAAATGGGGAAAGAAAGGCAAAGAAACATTCTCCCCTGAATCCTTCAGAAGGAACCAGCCCTGCCAAAACCTTGACTTTAGCCAAGTGAAACCAATTTCAAACTCTTGGCCTCCACATACTGTAAGAAAATAAATGTGTATTATTTTAACCCACTAATTTTGTAGTAATTTGTTACAGCAGCCACTGAAAATTAATACACATTCTGATATAAAGAATAGTAGCGGGGGGGGGGGGGGGGGGGGGGCTGTTTTGTCAATGATTCTTTTACAAGTTGCTGTTAGACATTTCTGGTTTTCTATATGGATCTAGGAAACTTTATTTTTTAATGTTAATTTTTCCACACTTTATTTATTTACATATTTATTTTTTAGATAAGTTTTTCACACTTTAGAATTGTGGTGTTACGAGGGACATAGCAACAACAGGATCCAGATTTGATGTTTTAGTTTATCCAAAACGAATCCATTAATATCCATTTAGAGATGCTGTGTTTTCCTCAGTCCCCAATATGTCTGGTGTAGAACCAACATAGCTGATCCTTGAAGGATTCAGGGTAATGCTCCTTTGCAAGAGAAGTCAATTTCTCACTCATGGTAAAAACTGAACAACCAAAGGCCATTACTTTGCCTCAGGCAATCGGGAAGAGAAAAAGACATAAAAGTTTTTGGAAGGTGTTTCTTTGTTGTTGGTTTTTGTTGTTGTTTTTGGTCAATGTTTTCCCTTTGTATAGGAAACACAGTCTTTGACTAGCAAACCTGACTAGCAAATTGAGTTATTTCAAAGTGTTTAGGACAGTGCCTGGCACATGGTGATTACGATATAAGAATCTGATAAATAGCCCTGACTGGTTTGGCTCAGTGGATAGAATGTCGGCCTCCAGACTGAAGGGTCCCAGGTTCAATTCCAGTCAAAGGCATGTACCTTGGTTGTGGGCACATCCCTAGTAGGGAGTGTGCAGGAAGCAGCTGAATTGATGTTTCTCTCTCATTGATGTTTCTAACTCTCTATCCCTCTCCTTCTCCCTTCCTCTCTGTAAAAAATCAATAAAATATATTTAAAAAATAAAGAATCTAATAAATAAATATGCATTCTCCCAAATTAAACTGGGGAATCAAAAAGTTGGCTATTGCTTTTTAAGAATGCCTGAAATTTAACCTAAGAGCAAAGTGAAACTAACTTCCCAAACCAGCTTGACACAAGAGAGCCATCGGGACCCTGGGTGGTTCAATAGCACGTGACTTCCCCACACTTCCTATCTGAATGGATTCCATCAGAGTCTATTGTGCAGGAGCAGCTGTCTCAGACTTCTCTGATGTAAACAAGCCATTTCCCCCTTCTCTAACTAAAAAAAGTCAGCTTTAGTTAAAATCTTTCATCTGAAAAGGATGCCAACATTTCCAAACTCATGAGTTCTGTATTCCTACAAACTCAGTGACTGGGTGGCCTCCCCTGCCTCTTCCTCCCCTTCCTACAACGAGGCGCCAGCTCCTCTCCACCCTTCAGGAAGGAAGAGCCCCTCGGACATCTCAGTGACAGCAGTGCGGACCGTGGCACCAGAAGAAACATCACACACGAGGGGACGGAGAGAGAAGGGAGGACTAGAAAACACAAGCTGGGGATGGGAGGAGCCGAAAAGAGTCTCTGGGTAAAGGACTCCTCTCAGGCCCAATCCAAAGGTCCCTCATCCTTTCTCCTTGACCTTTCCAGTTGGTTCCCCAACTCCCGAACATTCACATCTACTTCTGGGTGTCAAACTGGAGGACTGGGAAACAATGAGGGTAGGAAGCATCACCGAGGGTGGAACCTGAATTTTAGCTGGCCCTTTGTCATTAGCTCTTCGCTAGCCTTCCATGAGCGAGAGGGGGTCAGGGAGGGGACAACATGGAGATGGCCACACAGACCCCTTCCCAAGATCCCCAGACACCTCCTGATTAAAGAGCATAATGAGGAGGCGCTCCAGGGTCTACCTCAGTGCATAGAGGCCAAGGAGGAAAAATAGAAGAGGGAACTCTTAACATCAGTCATCTGTTATCCTTTCACTGGACAACCGGAGCCTCAACATTCCTTTCTGAATTGATGACAGTGCTGAGGCTCTGCGGTCCAAAAACAATGCTGTAGCTCTAAACTAACCCTTCCTTAGAAAGCTGAAGAACTCAAAACCACGAGAAAACTCAAGTGAAAAAAAAACAACAACAACACAAGTTGGAATGCCTGGGGCTGTGTCTCCGGACTGGCACACAAAGTGCCTTGCATGTAGCCAGTAGTCAATAATTTATTCAATTAGTGAATGTCCTGGTTTTCAAAGGTCTTTGAAAATCAATTCTATTCCCCAGCCAGGTCAAAGGCCTGGGAAAACACACGTGGAATCCGAATGAATTAGCAAGGGAATGAGAGAGAAAATGTTCTCTCCCCTCTCCCCTTTTTTTGAAAGGGAAGTGAAACAGTTTTTAGATTCTCTCATTGCAAAATCCAGGCAACTAGCCATAAGCAATCCCAGTTTTAATAAAACCAGACATGGACTAAGATCGGGCCACCACCTATCATATCCCACTTACTCAGCCAGCCAGTACCACCCGAGCACCCTTTTCTCTAACTCTCCTAGATGGGCAGACACTTTTGTCCTGCTCTTGACTCCTATCCACTGCTCCTTCTAAGAACTCCACCTATGAACTTTGTGGAAGTTCTAGCTAAGCCATGGTCATCACCAAAATGAAGACCACTCCTTCAGCCACAATTTTTTAAAATATATTTTATTGATTTTTTTACAGAGAGGAAGGGAGAGGGAGAGAGAGTTAGAAACATCGATGAGAGAGAAACATCGATCAGCTGCCTCCTGCACACACCCTACTGGGTATGTGCCCGCAACCAAGGTACATGCCCTTGACCGGAATTGAACCTGGGACCCTTGCATCCGCAGGCCAACGCTCTATCCACTAAGCCAAACCGGTCAGGGCCTTCAGCCACAATTTGAAGTCTATGTCAGATCAACTGCTAAAGCCACTGCCTCTGAAGATGAGGGTAGGTCCTGTCGAGCCCATTTGTACCTGCTGGTCCCCACAAGAACAGTTTGGACCCTGGAGACTAGACTCTCATACCCAAAGCTAACAATAAAGCAGAACCATGAACTCTGTTCCACCTCTTCCTTCGTTGCTTAGAGCTGACATCATTTAATTGAGCATTTCTTGACTAGATATTTTTTGAGCACACATATGACTAGAACTGTGGTTGGGCACAGTAGGAGTTACAGAAGAATTATAGCTCAGCCTCTGTCCTTTTCCAGGCCTGGGGCAAGGGCTGAGCCAAGGACAGGAGGTTTGGAATGGCAACATTCCTGCCCCTTACTCCCTCAGGAGATCAGTTTCACAGCCAACTGGCGGACATTTACAGACGGGGTTTGAGCAAAAGCCTTTTATCTCTGAATGTTTTCCCTCAAAATGGTCCAGTGAAGTGTCTTGGAGGCAAGAATCGTAATGGCCAGTCCACAGAAATTTGTTTCTTGATTATATGTCCTCGCAGCTGCTTCTAAGAAAGCTTGGGGGGAGTGTCCCACAGAGTGAAAGGGACCCTGGGAGCTAGACCCAATGCCACCTGGTGGAGGGCAAGCACCACTTGCCCATACTCACCGTTCTGTGTCTCTCTCCTTTCTCTTCTAAGTAAGCTCGGATAGTGGCCAGCCCAGCATATTCCCCCTGGGCTCCACTGCAAAGGCAAGAAGAGAAGGATTACGATTTGGGCCTTTTTGCTTTCATTTATCCATTCAATATTCGTTGGGGCTGGGCCATGTGCTCGCCAACAAGTGACACAAAGTCACACCCGGACACCATGAAAAGCTCACGGTAGATCTCTGCATGAGCCCACAGGACTTGAACAGCCAGGTCTGTGCCCTAAAGCTCACCCACTCCCACTCAGAGATGGGCCTTTGCACCCTCACTCAGAACCATGAACCTAAAAAATATTTTTTATTATGGAAAATTTCAAAATTATATAAAAGTAAAGTAAAGAATATAAGGAACTGCCATGTGCCTATCACCCAGCTTTAACAGTTATTGGATTACTAGAGGCCCAGTGCACGAAATTTGTGCACAGGGGCGGAGGGGGGGTCCCTCAGGCCAGCCTGCGCCCTCTCGCAGTCCAGGAGCCCTCAGGAGATGTCTGACTGATGGCTTAGGCCCGTTCCCCGCTCCTGAGTTGAGCGTCTGCCCCCTGGTGGTCAGTGCTCGTCATAGCTACCAGTTGTTCCTCCGTTTGGTCAATTTGCATATTACGCTTTTATTATTATAGATGGTCAATCTTGTTTCCAACTATATCCCTCATTAACCCTCCTCACTCTGAACTAGATTATTTTGAAACAAAACTCAATCGTGTCATTCATCAATTCAAACTTCAATATGTATCTTTCAAAGACAAGAATTTTTTTTTAAATGTAACTACAACTATCACACCTAAAACTACAATGATTTCTTATATCACCAAATACTTAGTCAATGACCAAATTGCCCCAAGGAACTATGCACTTTGAAAGTGGCACCATTTCTGTCTGTCTCAGGGTCGGCTTTCCCAGGCCCCACATGCACACAGCTGCTAGCGGCCGGCCATACCCAACAAAACAGTCCTGAAAGGCACCACTTTTAGAGCGCACTTAATGACTAACACCCCAGTGAGCGATGCTGTCAATCTTAAACTGTTACTTAATGTTTTCAGTACACTCTGCAGGAAGGAAAGGGAAGTGACTAATAGGTCTTTTTAATCCCATTCAAAATACATATTTCCTTCATTTTGCAAAATTACACCATCATTTGACTCGGTGGAAGACCCAGTGGTTTGGCATTCATCCCTCTCGTCACCCAGTAATTTTGAGATCATACTCTAAAAGCACAAGGCTTAAGAATAAATTAGATAAACTTTCTTTTATTTCTTAGCTAAAAGCTAAGCATTGGAATTTTTTAAAGTTTATTTTTCAATTACAGTTTACATTCAATATTATTTTGAATTAGTTTCAGGTGTACAGCATAGTGGTTAAACAAGAAAAAATTATATGTATATATTTTTAAATATATCTTTATTAATTTCAGAGAGGAAGGGAGGACAGAGATAGATAGAAACATCAATGATGAGAGAGAATCATCTGTTGGCTGCCTCCTGCACGCCCCCCACAGGGGATCGAGCCTGAAACCTGGGCATGTGCCCTGACCGGGAATTGAACCATGACCTCCTGGTTCATAGGTCAATGTGCCCTGGGAATTGAACCATGACCTCCTGGTTCATAGGTCAAAGCTCAACCACTGAGCTAGGTCGGCCAGGCAAAAATTATATATATATTTTTTTAAAAAACTCAGGCAGCTGGCGTGGCTCAGTAAAAACATATTTATATATAAAAAAAGAGAAAGTCAACATGCTAAAGATTTTATCAGAAATGCTGTTTCGATATTTCCATATTTTTGCCTGAGATGCTCTTAAAATCAGCTATGTTTCTACTCAAAAGTGTGGAAGATAAGTTCTAAATGCCACACATGGCTTACTACTAGTCCACTATTAAAGAAAGGGGGGTTATTAGTGCCACCTGTTGGTGAGAAAGTATTATGAAAAGTAAGTGCTTATTTTCATAACCCAGATTAAGAGATCATCAGAAAACCATTCTGTGTGGAGGGGCAGCTAGGATAGTGAATTTCTTTTCTTTCTTCTTCTTTTTTTTTTTTAAAAAAATATATTTTTATTGCTTTCAGAAAGGAAGGGAGAGGGAGAGAGAGAAATAGAAACATCAATGAGGAGAGAGAATCATTGATCGGCTGCCTCCTGCACGCCCTCTACTGGGATCGAGCCGGCAACCCAGGCATGTGCCCTGACTGGGAATTGAACCCTGACTCCTAGTTCATAGGTAGATGCCCAACCACTGAGCCACGCCAGCCGGGCAGGATAGTGAATTTCTGACATCTCTTTAAAATGAAGCAGTTAGTGGCCTGGACCTGCAGAGCCAGCCACAGAAAGGAGGACTCTCGTGGATGGGGAGCCTCAGACCCACAGAAGTGCCCAGTGAGCCCAAGATTAAACTGTTTTAGAAAAACAAGTCCCGCGAGCCCTGGCATTTACTCAGGCTGCTGAAGGAATGGCTATGGCTACGTGTGATACTGATTAACATAGAATGCGTAAAAACTAACTGACAACCTCTCCCAAAACCCAGACTCATTCTACAAAGAATCCAGAGAAATCCAGTAGACTAGAAGAAGCTAGAACACATATAACAAGCACAATGACTCCCAAGGTGATAATAAACTGGAGCTGATAGGATTCAACAGTTTTGTGATTATGTAAACCTAGACCAGTGATGGCGAACCTATGACACGCGTGTCAGAGGTGACACGGGAACTCATTTTTTTGGTTGATTTTTCTTTGTTAAATGGCATTTAAATATATAAAATAAATATCAAAAATATAAGTCTTTGTTTTACTATGGTTGCAAATGTCAAAAAATTTCTATATGTGACACGGCACCAGAGTTAAGTTAGGGTTTTTCAAAATGCTGACACGCCGAGCTCAAAAGGTTCGCCATCACTGACCTAGACCCTATTAGTAACAGTGTATCATCATAAGTGTGGAAATTCGGGGCAGCTACTCAATGTAAATTTAGAAAGAGAGAGAAAAAGAAAAGAGGGTAAGGGTAGTGGTGGAATTTGAAGATCCCATGATAGGGCTAGGGTCATAGTTCAGCTCTTTTGCCAAGATTAAAACAAGAGTTTAAGGACACAGTAAATTTCAAAGATATTTATCATTTGAACCTGGGCAAAAAGGTTGAGATTTAGAAATACTGCAATTTAGTTCCAAGGATTACATCTTTAGATGTTTGGAAAAAATGTTTATTGGACCATCACACAAGCTCAACCCCAAGGGATACTTGTAACCTTCTGCTAGATTTTAGAAATAAGATTGCAGATGATATGTCTATCTGAGAGGGAACGTAGCCTGCTCTTCTGGATGATTTTGCAGAATATGCATGGCCAGGAGTCACAGGCGGAAAGCATAGCACTTCTTAAGCATAAAACTTCAGATGGATTAAGATGATAAATAAATTGCAGCCTGGCCAGTGTGGCTCAGTGGTTGAATGTCAACCTATGAACCAGGAGGTCATGGTTCAATTCTCAGTCAGGGCACATGCCCAGGTTGCGGGCTCGATCCCCAGTAGGGGTTGTGCAGGAGGCAGCCGATAGATGATTCTCTCACGTCATTAATGTTTCCATCTCTTTCTCTCTCCCCTTTCCTCTCTCTGAAAACAATAAAAACCTACATTTTAAAAAATTAATTGCAGCCTATAAAGAAGGCATTTTGGTCAGTAACTGTGTACATTTGTCACTGATGTACACACAGCAGAAGACATCGTTGGCCAGCCATGAAGTAATCTCTTTATTCTGTCTAAGGAATATAGTTGCTGAGTTTATAGACACCATCAGAAATTTCTCAGAAGTTAGCTACATTGGAATATTTGGAGATTATTATAGCTGCTGTTGTTAATTAAAAAAGTAACCCTGCAGTTTTTAAAGATAAAAACAACTTCCTCACTCTTATAAGCCAAGTGAGCTAATAATAATTTTAGATTGTCTTCCCTTTTAGAGTAACATCTTTGAAAGGTGTTAATTACTGTTTCTGTCTGCCTTAAACATTGCATTATATATCATTCTAACCCAGCAATTCCTGGAGTGTGTCTGTGAGCTGCTGAATGAATCTACGAGTGTCACCGCGTTATGAGAAAGAGCCAAAGCAACCATGCTAGGCGCAATAGGAAATGGAAAGGTAATTAAATATTTTTGGCTATGTTCTCCACCAAGCTGGAAAAGCCCTCCGGGTTCCTGACATTTTTGTTTCAAGTTCTTAAAAACCTTTGGGATCGCCCTAGCTGGTTTGGCTCAGTGGATAGAGCATAGGCCTTCGGACTGAAGGGTTCTGAGTTCGATTCCGGTCAAGGGCACGTGCCTGGGTTGCGGGCTTGCTCCCGAGGCAGCCGATCATTGGTTCTCTCTCATCATTGATGTTTCTATCTCTCTCTCCCTCTCCCTCTCCCTTCCTCTCTGAAAACAATAAAAATATATTTAAAAACAAACAAACAAAAAACCTTTGGAAGTGAAGACTTGGCTATGTGAACCAAGGTTTTCATGTCACAATATGTCCCCTCTCTCACTCCTGTCTTTCCCCATTGAGATTGTGATTGGATCTGGGATTGTGATCTGGACATCAGAATTTGTATAAACTCACCCTATGAATCTAATTTCCAGACAGGGTTGGGAACCATTGCTTTAAGGGAAGGCAAGCTTCCTCATCCTTAGGGCAGCCTCTGGGGACTCTGGCTGGGACCTTAATTTACTGCAAGAGCTAATGACTTAAGAATTTGTCTTGAAACATTGCTCTCCAATATGACACTGAAGATGCAATCCTATTCCATCACTAGAGGGCAAAATTTCTTCATTTTCAACATTTAATAAAGCATTATTGCCTAAGGTTAAGAATTCAATCAGGTTCCTCTCATACTTTAAAAAAAAAAAAAAGCTGAATGATAACATTTTAATGAGAGTATACTGAAGCCTGACTTTCATGGATGTCAGTTCCTTCCTATTTGTGTAATGAGGATTTGAAAGGCTATTGTTAAAAGAGCTCCATGTCCTTTCATGTGCCATCTACCCTCTTCCTAAAGGATTTGTGCTTGATAGGGTATATTGTTTTTCAAAGTGCATGGCTCTGCCCGACCGGTATGGCTCAGTGGTTGAGCATCAATCTATGAACCAGGAGGTCATGGTTTGATTCCTGGTCAGGGCACATGCCAGGGTTGTAGGCTTGATCCCCAGTGGGGGGCGTGCAGGAGGCAACCAATCAATGATGTTTCTATCTCTCTTTCCCTTCCTCTCTGAAATCAATAAAAATATGTTAAAAAGAAAAAAAAGTGCATGGCTTTGCTATGTAGCCTATGTTACCAAACAGGAGGTTAAGCTTGATTATATCTGATTAAAACTTGGTTACTTTCTCTTTCAGAAAGTGAGACAATAATTGTCTCCGTTTTTAAATCATTTGATTTTTGAATTTTAAAATCGAAATTCTGTATTTCTAGCAAAGTCCTAGGTGATGCCAATGCTGAGGCTACTGGGGAAGAATTACACCTTGGGTCGTAGGAGGTAGAGAACCCAGGAGCAGAGACCGACTCCTCTTCGAAGCTATCCTAAGACCTTAACTCCACACCGATAACAGGTCTGTCTGCACTCCCAGGAAGACAGAGAGATCACAAATGCAGTGGATTCCAAATTGGCTGTATATCAGAATCATTTTGTTGCTTCTTAAAAATAAAGAGTTTTAGTCTCAACTCCTGAAGATTATGATCAGTAGGTCTGGATTGGGGCCCAGGAATTTATATATTTTTTTAATGTTTTTATTGATTTCAGAGAGAGGGAGAGAGAGATAGCAACATCAATGATGAGAGAGAATCATCTATCAGCTGCCTCCTGCATGCCTCCAACTGGGAATCGAGCCCCCAACCCAGGCATATACCCTGACCGGGAATCGAACCCCCATCTCCTGGTTCCTAGGTCGACGCTCAACCACTGAGCAACACCGGTGGGGCTGGAATTTGTATTTTTTAAAGGTACCCAGGAGATGTTGCCAAAACCCTCTGTTTTTACAAATCACTATTCTTCAAAGTTTTTTACTTTGCAGATAAAAAGACCAAGGCCAGAAGAGGGGAAGGAACTTTCAAAGTTAGTGACAGAAGAAACCAGGATCCAGGTTCTTCTGGCCCTGTTAGATTGAGACATTGCTGCTTCGTAGGAGCTAACATGTGTGCTTGACTTTCCTTCTTTTACTATGTTATTGATAGGTATAGTAACTAGTTTCCAAAGATGGCCCACAACGAACCATGACTCTCAACATTCACACTCCTGTTGTGTCCCTTCCCACATGAAATCTGGGCTGGCCCTGTAACCTGCTGTAGCAAACAGAATGCTCTGGAAGTGAGGCTGAGTGACTTCAGAGGCTGAGCCTTAAGAGGTTTGCAGCTTCCACATCCTTCCACTTCGGAGCACTGTGCTTTGAACCCTGGTATCATTCCGTGAGGAAGTTCAAGCAATCACATGGAGAGGTCCACAGAGAGAAGAGCCAAGATCCATAGCCATGGCCTGAACTAACTTCTCCCAGCCAACAGCCCACTACTAACTTCTCAGCAATGAAGGAGGCCACTTTGGACCTTCTGGTCATCCACCCCAGTGGAGGGGAACTGTCCACTCAACTCAGAAGGATACAAAATATTTGTTGCTTCAAACCTCTAAGTGTTAAGATGGGTGTTGTGTTATACCCCAAGCAATAACTAAAATGACAGGAAATGAAATCCCCTTACCTGTTAGGCTGTAAACAGATTCGGTCGTAGCCTGTGATCTCACACAAATCCTTCTCAAGCTCTCGGAAAAGCTGCTGGTACCCTTGAGCTTGGTCCAAAGGCACAAAGGGGTGGATGTTTGCAAATTCACTCCATGTGATTGGCTGAAGAGCAAGAAAGGAGAAAACATATGCATATATACATATTGTAACAGCAGTAACAATATTAACTTTGATGATGATGATGTGATGATGATGAAAGCATGATCTGACATGCAGTGCTTACTATGTGCCAGGCACTGCTTTCAGCACTTTATTTATTTATTTAAAAAATATTTTTCCTTATTCATTTCAGAGAGGAAGGAAGGAGAGAGAGATAGAAACATCAACGATGAGAGAGAATCATTGATTGGCTGCCTCCTTCACACCCCCTACTGGGGATCGAGCCTGCAACCCAGGCATGTGCCCTTGGCCGGAATCGAACCTGGGACCCTTCAGTCCACAGGCTGACGCTCTATCCACTGAGCCAAGCCGGCTAGGGCTGCTTTCAGCACTTTAATATATTCCTTCATTTAACTCTCACCACAATCTTACAAGGTAAGTTCTACTACTGTCTTCATTTTAGAAGCGAGTCCCAGAGTCCTAGAAAGCGAACTTGTGCAAAAATATAACCTCTTTCTATCTTTTTTAGGGACAAAAAGGCCCAAAAATAGATTTATATCCATGAAACCCAATGAGTTGTTTCAAGTACAGTTTATTCAAACTCTTACATAGCATGTACATTATTGTCTCTTCATTAAGCAGAACAAAGCAACAGAAAAGCAAATGGGGGAAATCTTCCTGTCACAATATAAAATTATTTCCTTGGCCTGATGTGATTTGTCACATCTGAATACTCCGGTGGAAAAAAAGGAACAAGCTAACTTTGTTGAAATGGATCCTAGCCTAGGAAACATGCTTACCAACACAACAGCAGGTTACACAAATCTTCTGTTAACACAAGAAAGAAATTAAAACCTCAAATCTCTACCCTTTGGCACAATGAATGGATTTCTAGAAAGAAGGCTTAAGGTTCTTCTCAGCTTAACAACCACAAATTGATCAAAATAAAAGCTTTTCATGTGGCAGGTTTAACAAAAGATGGTGTGAGGGTAGGAAGGTATAAATACTATATATTTAATTATTTTAATATTTCAAAATAATCTGACTCATAAATTTAAATGATCAGGTTGTGGTAAAATTGGGGTTTCTGCCAAGATTGCTGAATAACAAGGAAAAGGATTATTAAAGTAGTTATTAATTCACCGTCCCAGTAGCAGTTTTCTCTAGTTATGTACAGCCAGAACAAGTTCCTTCTTAGAAGTGACCTACTTACTGCAAGTTCAGATGAACTGTTGAGCTTCATGGTACAGGATCCCTTTAAGAAGCACAACCAAAATAAATTGCATTAGTGATTTCCTATGATTGGTATGATCAGCCCTTCTATCTCCCCACAAGGCCACCCATTAATCCCTCCTGCAGCATATTACATGTGACCCAAAGAGGGGGGGATAAAAGTAATAATTACCAGTGGAATCATGCTGTGAACAAGGGAAATGTCTTTGTTTTCTAATTTCTTCATATATCGAACAATATTTGTTTCTGAGTGATAGCTGTGAACACAAAACGCATGATTGGGGCCAATCTAGTTAGGTAAGAGTCCATACGTATCCTCCTGAAAGATCAGACAAACTGAGATCTACCTTCAACATACAGTTCACGTTGGGCCATGCCAACAAAGCATCAGAGGGAAGGGCATGGCACCCCACAAACCTCAGTGGATGGCCCAGGACAAGAAGCATCCTGTGGGCATAAGAGGAAGGTTGGGAAGAAGAGAATGTTGACTTCCTGGGTATGCTCTTCAGCCTGGCAACTAGGCATCTAAACTCTCCCCCACCTGATGAGTAGAATTAGGGGTTACAGTGCCAAGGGGTCAGGGCCAACAGGAAATAATGTGTGCTTTGCCCAAATCAGCAATGGGATCCTTATGGCGATGATTTATTATTAAGGGAATATCACATCCAAGTCAGAAGCCACTCTCTACTGCGCTCCCAAGCCACGGCACACAGTGCAGAAGTCGCACTGGCCACACAAACCTGTTGAACACTTGATTTGTAAGGAACGGGCTGGTTCTCTTGAAGGCAGTGGCTAGAATACCTCTCCGTTCCTCGCCCATGCTTTCAGCAACCAGCTCCTGCATGAAGAGACCACAGAAACTAAAGGGCAGGAATTGTGCCTAGAACCACGTCTGGACACCCAGGCCTCAGGTCAGCAAGTATTCTCACAGAGCATCAGAAGTCCTCTAGCACCCCCCGCCCACCCACTCACCACCTCCCCAGGCATCTGGCATGGTGTGCTGACAGGTGTCAGGAGTTATGAATTGTGAGAATCTCCAGAGCACTGTTTTTAAGTTTTATTGACCTCATCCACAGAAAATAAGGAAAACTGTACAATTTTTACTGCAAAGAAAGTTGACATCTCCTGTATGTTCCTTGAATAATAAGTGAGTTCTGGTAAGTTATTTTAAAAGGCTATCAAAAAAGTTACCGTGATAACATTCAGGTAGGAGTCTCACTTGACACTGATCTTTTATCTTTGAGAACAACTCTAATGAAATTCAAATGCCAAGATCATGTAATAGGGAAAAGGATAATCTCTTCAACAGACAGTGCTGAGAAAACTGGATTTACACACGCAAAAGGATGAAGTTGGATCCAGATCTTACATAATATACAGAAAAAGTAACTTGAAATGGATTAAGGACCTACCTTTAAAGGCTAACACTATAAAACTCTTAGAAGAAAACAGGGGACATCTGCATGACCTTGGGTTTGGCTATGGTTTTTTTTTTTCTTGTTTTTTTAAAAATATATTTTATTGATTTTTTACAGAGAGGAAGGGAGAGGGATAGAGAGTTAGAAACATCGATGAGTGAGAAACATCGATCAGCTGCCTCCTGCATGCCCCCTACTGGGGATGTGCCCGCAGCCAAGGTACATGCCCTTGACCGGAATCGAACCTGGGACCCTTGAGTCCGAGGGCCGACGCTCTATCCACTGAGCCAAACCGGTTAGGGCTGGCTATGGTTTCTTAAGCATGAGCAACAAAAAATAGACTCATTAAAATTAAAAATCTTTGCACATCAAAGGACACTGTCAAGAGAGTTACGTGATAACCCACAGGAGGGAAAACTATTTGCAAATCATATATCTATTAAGAGTTCAATATAGAGAATATATAATTAAATAGCTCACTTGCTCCTCATTCTGCCCCAGGCTTCAGTGACTGTTCATTCCATAAACATGCCTCAACACGTGCAATGAATAATTGTGATTAAAAGTAGTGCAAAGTTCTAGAGGGAAGATGCTTATTCAGTCCTGTTTATTAATTAAAGTTTAATATGATACTTCTTTGATGATTTCCATTTGTTATGATACTGAAGTCCTCTCTCAAAGAGGACACAGACAACCAGGACAGCAACATTCAACACTCTAAAACCTATTTCAACTTCTTTAGTAAATGTTTTCTTTCATTGATTTTTTTCATCAAATATTTTTTGAGGGCACTAGGCTGTGTAGAGTTGTGATTAACACCTGGCCACAGGTCTAGGTAGTCACTGACACCTCCCTTTCATTCTCATTCCATGGAATGTAACCTTTATCCTTACATGTCCCTGCTATTTCAATGTTTTAGAAACCAACTCAATCGCACTGAACTGCTTCTAGTTCTCAGGAATCTCTCTCCTCCAGCCTTAGTGGCTGCTTTTCCCAGTGTTTGGAACACTTCTGGCCCCATCCTCCTCTTCAATAGTGCCATCTTAGTCTATATAACTCCTACTCATCTTTCAGATCTCAGCTGAGGATAATTTCTTCCAAATCCTGGTAAGAAGACTCTTCTCTGTGCTCAAAGAGCATCTTCAGACATCACCCATCATAACACATCACTTGGATTGCAATCTTGTGCTTGTTTGAATCCTCATTAGACTATAAGCTCCATGAGTGCAGGAATCATGTCTAATTCACCATGATCCTCAGGACCCAGCATGCTACCTGGCACATATTAGGTCTTTAATAAATATATTTTGCGTGAGTGGGTATCATGATTTTCTCAGAATCTACATAACCAAGATGCCAATGTCATGAATCTCTATATTAAGGACAATCCTTCCAAATAGCCTGGGTGCATGGTCCTGGGTAGGGCACACAGCAGTAACCTCTATCAGCAGTCACTGCTGCCAGGGACAGTCAGTGCCATAATTTTAACAGCAAGCCACCAATGTCACACCTGCTCCCTCCACCCCCATACATACTCAGGACCACAAGAAGCAAACCCATCTTTGACACCATCTCAAATAGTCGTTATAAGAAATGCATGCTTTTATTTCACTTACTGCAGATGATTCACAGCCAAAGATCCACAACAAGTCATCCAGATCTTTTTCACTGACTGTTTCATCAAGAGAAATACCAAGCTACAGAAATAAAAACAAAAGAGAAAAAAAATCAGCTCTAGACCCAAGAGAGGTCAAAGGTGAGAAGATGCTGGACAAAACTCCCAGTTCTTTTAAAATATCAGGGTGCCAGTTGGTTACCAAATTGGCCCTTAGGCGAAAGGGACTAAGACCAGCCCTCAACTTCACAGGATTTAGTTTTATAAGTCACTTCTGGACTCTAACACCGTGATGGTTGCAAGGTACTCTTATTGGTACTGGATATCCTCACCTTTTTCTTCCCTTAACTTGCTTTATTATATCATTTATCAGGGCCTTTACCTTGAAAAGTCATATTGTGAAGAGAGAAGTAAGAAAATATGTGCCTAAAAGTCCCCTTTATGAAAACACAGTCTTAAGGAAAGATGAGAATCAAATATCCTTTGAAGGATTACAATGTTCCTAAACTAGAAATGAAAATGGTTTATTAAAAAAAAAATAGACTGGGGGGTGGGGGTGGGCTAGAAGGGGTCATTGTGAGAAAAAAGGAGATATATAAATATTTTCAACAGTAAAGAATATTTTTTTAAAAAAATAGATTGTGCCCAAAATTCCAATATTGATTTTTTTTTAACACGTTAAGCACCAAGCCTGTTTTGTCTTCCTTTCCGGAAAGTATAGTGTCAGTCACTGGTGATTGACATGGTGCTTAACATGTTAAATAAAGAGGAAAACTTTTAATGACAAAAATCATGAAAATTTATGCAATAAAAAAAGTCATGAAAACCTAGAGACTTTGTTAAAAAGAAAACAACAAACACCTGAAAGTTTGACTTACTGTGCCATCCTCAAAAAGTCGAAAATTGATTTGCCTCTGAGCAGCTCTGCTCAAAACCTCCTTCACTGAGCAGCCACACTGAATCTTCAAAGTGTCAAAGAACAAGTCATGCTGGAGTTGATGCCCCGCTCGCTTGAGACCTAAACAAGAGAGGAGGATCAACCAGATTCCCCCACAGAAACCTGCTCCTCCGCCACTGACATTTTCCAGAGAAATAAAGATTAAAATCCTACTAAAACAGTCTGTTCCTGCCCTACCCAGTGTTTTGTGGCTGCTTAAAAAATTAAATGCTTATTACTATACTGCAGAAAATTGTAAAATCTATATATATAAAAGCCTAACATGCAAATTGTCCCCATGGGAGTTTGACCGGGAGACCGGGAGTTTGATGGCTCACTATGATGTGTGCTGACCACCAGGGGGCGGTGCGGAACAAAGGAAGGCCCCGGCCGGCAGCCAGAAGGCCCTGATTGGCCCCGATCGCCGGCCAGGCCTAGGGACCCTACCTGTTCACAAATTTTGTGCACTGGGCCTCTAGTCCTATATAATAAAAGCCTAATATGCTAAGTGTCTGGTCATCCAATCAGCCATTCAACCAATCAAAGCGTAATATGCTGCCCTAGCCGGTTTGACTCATAGTGATTACATTCTGGTATATATTCCTCTAGAAGTTGTGTGTGTGTGTGTGTGTGTGTGTACACGTGCATGTGTGATAGATCACATACATATATTTCTTTAACTTTAAAAATAATTGTAATATATCATTGACATTTTGCTTTTCTCAAAATCAAAACCCATATCATTGTTTTTAATGGCTGTATATGGTCAAACTTATAGATGTACCATAATGTAACTACTTTTTATTGGACATTTAGGCTATTTCCAAGATTGTGCTATTGTCAACAGTGTTTCAGTGGAAACCCTTTACTTTCCTATTTTATTATTTCCTTTGGATTTATACATAGAAGTAGAATTTCTGCATCAAATTATAGACATATTTTAAAGACTTTTGACATATATTGTTTAAGTGTTCTTTAAAAAAGAAGTCAGCCTAACCGGTTTGGCTCAGTGGATAGAGCGTCAACCTGTGGACTGAAGGGCCCCAGGTTCGATTACGGTCAAGGGCATGTACCTTGGTTTCGGGCACATCCCCAGTAGGGGGTGTGCAAGAGGCAGCTGATCGATGTTTCTCTCTCATCGATGTTTCTAGCTCTCTATCCCTCTCCCTTCCTCTCTGTAAAAAATCAATAAAATATATTTTTAAAAAAATAGAAGTCATATCAATATCAGCATTCTTTTTCATATTTGCCAGTGTGATGGGAGAAAAACTATTTTGTTTCAATTTACATTTCTTTGAGTAATAATGAGGTTGAAATTATATATATTCATTGACTATGTGACTTTTAATTCTGTATAAAGAATTGAACCTACAGTGAGTTCTCAATTTCACTTACTCATGTTTATCAGTTTTGTTATACCCACAACTTTTTAAAAAAGATATGTGACTCACCTTCAGACAAAATCAAAGTGGCATTGTGTACCCTCCTAGCAATATGCTCCAGCCCTCGGGAACCGTGGTAGATTGCAAACATGGCAGCCATATTCGCCAAGAGAGCCTAAAATGACAAAGAGCATTTAAGGAATTATGTTCAACAATGTGATGGAAGACAATTAATAGAAGGGACTATTCTTTTGACTTGAGATGCCAAATTGAAAACAGAGACAAAACAAAATGATCAGATTTCCTGCATTCTCTATGATACCTGGGGACCATTTATAACACGGCTGAACACCTGAGGGAAAGGCACAGCATCTAAGATACTGTGGACTCACGATGTTAAACCTTCAAATATGACCATTATAAAGGGGTTCCATACATGCAATATAATCATGTCATCCATAAGGGGAAGATCAGGCTGTCACAGACATCGAGATACAAAATTTAATGTTGGAATACAGAGGAGCCATAAAGACCTCAGTGGGGAAAAGTGACATCTAAGAATTTTATACTCAAACAGTTCTTCAAGGATAAAAAGAACAAAAGTTTTCAAAAACAGAGGAACTTGGGGAATACAATTCTCCTGAGGCCTTCAATACAACAGTAGAAGGTGAATTTCAATAACCAAGAGATAAATGGAGAATCTGTGGCAAAGATGACAGTGCAGTTGTTACAGGTAGAAATCTGGAGTCAAAGACACAGAGTGTTCAAGGAACAGCTCAAAATATATCAGTCATCTTTTAACAAAGAGAATAATTTCACATTTACAAAGAGAATGACACTGGAGTTGTCACTTGTTTAATGAAATCAATCTTGCAAAGGAAACACATGAAATGAAATAGACAACAGAGAGTTAAAAGATCTCCAGAATGAGAAGGTGAAACTCAGAGAAGACAGAGTATAGCTATCTTCAGGGTAAACATCACTTTAATATTTCCAGAAAAAGAGATCTTTCATAATCCAGTTTGATAATGAAATATCAGCTATACATAAACTGGAAGAAATAAAAAAGAATTACCAGCCCCGGCCAGCATGGCTCAGTGGTTGAGCATTGACCTATGAACCAGGAGGTCACAATTTGATTCCTGGTCAGGGCACATGCCTGGGTTGTGGGCTCGATCCTCAGTGGGGGGCGTACAGGAGGCAGCTGATCAATGATTATCTCTCACCATTGATGTTTCCATCTCTGTTCCTCTCCCTTCCTCTCCGAAATCAATAAAAATATATAATATATTTTTAAAAAGAACTTGTTCATTGTAGACAGCCCAAGTTCACCTGGAGAATTAGAAAACTCTAATGCACTTATGATCAGACAGATACCTTCTGGGAGCAGATGGGAAGAAAGGATAAGACAGGGGCAGTCAGCTGCAGAGGAAGGGAAAATATGTAAGCAGAGAATGGAGTGTAAACTATAGAAAATAAAGGCATCATGTAAAGATCCATTAGATGTCAACAGAAGAAAAGCCTGTGACAACTGACTCCTTCCTGTGACACTAGAAGAGCTCTTACCTTCCTGAGGCAAAAAATAATATAAGAAAACCAACTGAAGAAACATCTCCAGCCCTGGCCGGTTTGGCTCAGTGGATAGAGCTTCAGTCTGCGGACTAAAGGGTCCCAGGTTTGATTCCGGTCAAGGGCAGATGCCTGGGTTGCAGGCTCGATCCCCACTAGGGGGCGTGCAGGAGGCAGCAGATCCATGATTCTCTCTCATTATTGATGTTTATATCTCTCTCCCTCTCCCTTCCTTTATGAAATCAATAAAAAAATATTTTTTTAAAAAAAAAAGAAAGTAACGTCTCCAAAGACTGAACTAACTATAAGAAGACCTTATCAACTGCTCCCTGAAGAGGCTTTCTAAACCCTGGTGGTGCTTTGAGCCAATGCCCTGAGAGGGCAGAGCACCGGACTGCCCAATGAGGTATCTGTGAGATCTCTCTCCTTCTCTGACCCTGACTGAAAGAGGTAGACTCAGAATAGACCACGTGCTCAGAGTGGCCTTCCACCTGACCCTAGAAGTTGGCTGGATATCAGAAAATACTGCTCCCCCTGGCCTGCGCCCTTGGGCAACTTCCTGGTAACTCCTCGTCTTTTATCCCACCCACTTCGGGAATGCCTCTCATGAGCTCCCAGTGAGAGTACCCTGTGACCACCACCAGCCTGCCAGTGGGACCATCCCCTCAAGTACAGTCACCTAAACCACCACCAGCCTGCCAGTAGGACCATCCCCTCAAGTACAGTCACCTAAACCACACTCACTTTGCCCTCCTCCCCCCATCCTGGAGGGCTTCCATCTGAGCCTGAAGAGAAGGGGCCCATAATAAACCACCCATAATAAACCTGCCCGAAAGACAAGAATGCTAGAGACCTTAAAGTGTGAAGCGTGTGCATACACAGAGCACCAGTAAAATACACGGTATTTTGTTTCTGACAAGACCACAAGGCTTCTCTACCAATAAGACCTTAACATTCCTGGCGGAGCATACATGAATGAACAATGAAGTGAATGAATGAGTAGCTCATGTCTGTAAAATAGACTATAAGGCATTCAGGGGACAGGCCAGGTCTGTGACCTACCTGAGCAGTACAGATGTTGCTGGTAGCCTTGTCTCTCCGGATGTGTTGCTCCCTGGTTTGAAGAGCAAGACGATACACTTCCTTCCCGGTGGCATCTCTGGGCCAAGAATAAAACATCCAATTAGCACAGGTAATCGCAGCACCAGGAATTGTCATAAATGGACCTGCTTTTTTCCTTCCCAGCTTGAAGTGAATTTAAGCAAATTTACTTGGGTACAAGGCCATAAAGAAACAACTTCCAAATCATCCCCTTCTAACTAGAACTACTAATTTTTAGGTTGTACTGTGGGGATTTGAGGAACCCAGATAGAGACATTAAGGCTGGGAAACTTGAAAGGAAATTTTCCCGGAATTACCCAGCCAAATATAATGATGGTGACTGAGGATTAATTATCACTCTGAGCTTCTTGGCAGACTCAGGAAAAAGAAATATCTGACAAAGAAAACAGCTTCTCTGTACTAGAAGTCTGAAATGACTATATAGCTAAAAATTAAAATTATGTTAATCAGCTTACCACTTGTCTCTAATCAACATTTTCCCCTCCTAATACGATTAAAAATTTGGATAAGCACAAATATTTAGCAGTCTCATCCTTTCTTTCAATACACTTTGGGGTCCATTTTTCAGAAAGGTAAGAAGTTCAATATAAAAATCAGCAGACAGCCTTGGCTGAACAGCTCAGTTGGCTAAAGCATCATCCCAATATGCTAAGGTTGCAGGTTCAATTCCTGGCCAGGGCACGTACAGGAATCAATCAATGAGTGCATAAGTAAGTGGAAAAATAAAATCAGCAAACACTAATTAATATATTACATTTTTTAAATTGTAACGCCCTGTGCCTCATCTTGTCTGGTGAAGACATCACTGGGAAAAAAGCTAATGTGAGAATACTTGAAGAAACTTATTTTTACACTAAAAAACAAGGCACCTTTTGCTACCCTGTGGTAAACTGAGAGTACTTTTAAACTTCCCATCACCATCATTCACTACTCCAAACTATTCACTTACATCAGTATATCAGTTTTTATGAAGGGTCAAAAAGATCATGCTAAATTTCCCAATAATGGCATGGCATTCACGCCTGCCGGTGTGGCTCAGTTGGTTGGAGCACAGTCCCATGCACTGAAGGATCTCAGGTTTGATTCCCAGTCAGGGCACATACCAGGTTTCAAGTTCGTCCCCCAGGGGTGAATATGGGAGGCAACCGATCAATGTTTTCCTCTCAGATCGATGTTTCTCTCTCTCCCTTTATCTCTAAAATCGATAGAAAACATGTCCTCAGGGGAGGATAAAAAAAATAATAAAGAATAAGCATGGCATCCATCTAAAATCTTTTATGGATTTAAGAGAAGAAGGGAGAGGGAGAGAGAAAAAGAAGCATCAATGATGAAAATCATTAATTGGCTGCCTCCTGCACACCCCTTACTGGGGATCAAGCCTGCACCCTAGGCATGTGTCCTGACCAGGAATTGAACCATGACCTCCTGGTTCATAGGTCAACGCTCAACCACTGACCCACACCAGCCGGGCTAAATTATTAATCTGAGGAGCTTCTTCAATGAGAAGCACTCAAGAAAGTACTTGTGGAAATTGGTCCAATGGCCGAGTGGCGGGCCTCTAGGAAATAATGTGGATCTCACTCAATATGTGCATGATAATCTCTTATTGCACTTATCTTTACATAACTGTGTAGCATAATACTTTTGAGAAAGAAAATGATTAGATATAAAACCCATCTAAAATAACTGTATAGCCGTAACCGGTTTGGCTCAGTGGATAGAGCATCGGCCTGCGGACTGAAAGGTCCCAGGTTCGATTCTGGTCAAGGGCATGTACCTTGGTTGCGGGCACATCCCCAGTAGGGGTTGGGCAGAAGGCAGCTGATGGATGTTTCTCTCTCATCCATGTTTCTAACTCTCTATCCCTTTCCCTTCCTCTCTGTAAAAAATCAATAAAATACATATTTTTTTTTAAATGCAAATCTTTAAAAATAAAATAAAATAACTATGTAGCATAATACTTTTGAGAAAGAAAATGATTAGATATAAAACACATCTAAAATATTCAGTCTCTAGGCCAATGCTGGGCTCCCTCCACAGACCCGCCGGCGCAGGGCTCCGCTGGCCTTTAGAGGAGGCCGCGCCCGCAGGCCCATGGCTGCGGGCTCACCAGCGGTCATGCTGCCGGCCGTGGTGGAGGAGCTCCTGAGCGAGATGAGCACGCGTGTTCCTGATGAGCATCTATTATTGCTGAAGTTTGTCTTTGGCTCATCAGCCCTCCAGGCCTTGGACCTAGTTGATCGACAGTCCATCACTTTAATCTCATCGCCCAGTGGGAGGCATGTTTACCAGGTGCTTGGAAGTTCTGGTAAAACATACACATGTTTGGCTTCTTGTCATTACTGTTCATGTCCTGCGCTTGCCTTCTCTGTGCTCTGGAAGAGTGACAGCCTGCTGCGCAAGCATCTCTTAGCAATTTATCTTAGTCAGGTTATGGGGACCTGTCAGCAGCTAAGTGTTTCGGATAAGCAACTGACGGACATATTATTGATGAAGAAGAAACAAGAAGCATAAAAGGGATATTGCAGAAGCAGCTGACGTGGTGAACAAACAGATGAAAAAGATCTTACAGCCTAGGAAACCTCAACCCTGTGTCCCCAAAGCGTGAGGTGCTAGTGAGTGAATGCTGTGTGAGAAGGCCATGATGTGGCAGTGTTCTGTGGTGGGCAGAGCCTTTTGTTATGATGAGGTGTGGCAAATAAACTATGAAGATTTTTCTGCTACTTGGGAAAAAAAAATAAAAAAAAATATTCAGTCTCTCAAAGCACTCTTCAACTTTAGTAAATTTATATATGTAACCTCAGAACAACTATGGCATGGATTACACACACACTTTTTCAAACATGTACAGACTCATGGCATTTGAGAAGAGGTACTAACTAGTTCACACCCCAAATAGATTCTCCCTTCTGAATCTATGTGTACACATCTTTAATCAACCCCAAGTGACCCAGTTAGGTTTAAAGAACAACCAACAACTTTTGTGATCAAGAGAAGGAACAGGGGCCCGGCCAGTGTGGCTCAGCGGTTGAGCATCAACCTATGAACCAGGAGGTCACGGTTCGATTCCCAATCAGGGCTCATGCCCAGGTTTCGGGCTCGATCCCCAGAGTGGGGCATGCAGGAGGCAGCCAATCAATGATTCTCCCTCATCATTGATGTTTCTATCTGTCTCTCCCTCTCCCTTCCTCTCTCTGAAATCAATAAAGAAATTGTTTATTTTTAAAAAGAGAGGAGCAGGGAAAATCATGGCCACGATAAAAAAGTTCTGAGAAACATGAGTTGCTTTACCTTGTAACTCCCACCATTCTTCCAGGCATCATCCTCACCAAGCTTTCTCTGACGGCAAAAAAGGCTGCATGAGGTCCACCATAGCCGAGTGGCACCCCAAATCTCTGTGAGCTGCCAAGGGCGATGTCTACCCCAAATTCTCCAGGAGGCCTCAAGATACACAGAGCTAAAAGGTCAGTAGCACAGCAAGCCAAGCTCTAGAAAGGAAATGAGAAAGTGGACAATGTTGTTACCTTCCCTGAGAGTAGTGATAGAGCAGCCAATCACCTCCATTACAAGCAGACTGGCAGAGTTGGTTTCTATTACGTGAACTTCACTTACTCATTCACTTAAAATATTTACTGAGTGCTTTTTATGTGCCAGGGATCAATAAATAAAACAAACTTTTTTTTTAAAATATATATTTTATTGATTTTTACAGAGAAGAAGGGAGAGAAATAGAGAGTTAGAAACATCAATGAGAGAGAAACATTGGTCAGCTGCCTCCTGCACACCCCCTACTGGGGATGTGCCTGCAACCCAGATACATGCCCTTGACCGGAATCGAACCTGGGACCTTTCAGTCCGCAGGCCGATGCTCTATCCACTGAGCCAAACCGGTTAGGGCATTATAAAACAAACTTGAATAAAGGAGGCAGGAAAAGACAGCTTCACCATTCCAAGTGATAAAGGTATGTAAATTAAGGCACACCAGAACCGATAATTCAAAGTTGAGACACACCTCCATGGACCCCACAAGGAGAGGTTTGCTTACCCCAGTCTGATGGGCTCTCTCCACGAGTTCAGTAAAGTCTTCCACCTTCCCCTCAGTGTCTGGGTACTGGAACAGCACTCCACTGACGTCTTTCCCACTGAAGTCCATTTCGTGGAATAACTTCAACTCAATGAGGACTCCAGCATATCTAGAAAGAGAGAAGACAAAGAACAAACATGTTTCTGGTTTGTAAGGAAAAATCAAATAGCCTACAGTTTCTTTTCCATAATATAGCATTCATAATCCGTGTCCTTTCTCAATGCCCACCCACCACCACATCCCAACACACACACACACACACACACACACACCCCTCATACCCAGACCTTCAGTGGTAACAGTGTTTCAAACCAACTCAATTGCATCCAACAGCTCAGCTTCTGTTTTTCTCAACCACAGGCACTCCTCCCCTTTCCTGCCAGAACCAGCTCCTGAGATAAACCAGAAACATTGCCTCGTAGGGCTAAAGAACCAATATCTGTAACAGCAGCGCCATTGCCACTTTCACTTTGGATAAGTCTTAGGTCAGCAGTTCTCAACCTTCCTAATGCCGCGACCCTTTAATACAGTTCCTCATGTTGTGGTGACTCCCAACCATAAAATTATTTTCGTTGCTACTTCATAACTGTAATTTTGCTACTGTTATGAATC